ACAAGTATTCACTATTTACAGCATGGAAACAGTGAATCCTACCTAAAAATTCCAGTTAGAGATAATCAGGGCCCTTTTGTATCCAGAAGGTGCTGCACCCCAAACCCCCATCCCAGATGCAGTTAGCCGGATGCATGAGAGACATTTTCCCAATACCATTCCTGGTACCCCAACTCAAAGAAGACCCCAAAAAAGATGACGTGTCTGTAGCAGACATGGACTTAGGCGTGACAGCTGCTTTTGTTGTCCCTCCTGTCCTGGCCAACCTGGCCTCTGCGTCAAGCCCTGCTTCCGCCTCTACCATACACTAGTGGACTATTAGTATAGGGTACAGCACGGCACAGTTACACAGGGTCTCGAAAGATGTTAGGTAGTCAGGAAACTGGCTATCGCATTTGGAGAGACCCATCCATCTGTTTTAAAAATGTTTAAAGTTTGAAAAAAAAAAAAAAAGTTAAAAAAAAATTAAGTACAAATCCCCCCAAAAAATAAAAAAAATTTAAAAACCAAAAAGTTATATTTTTTTTTGTCATTTTTGTGATTGTTCTACTTTTACTGTTTTATTGTTAATCATTTCTGTTTGCAGGAATACTTTCAGCTGCAGCACTGACCTGTTTATTCTGACAGCAACAGGAACTTGCTCTCAGAATATACATAAATCAGTGTGGGCAGTGCTGTTGGAAGAGATTTTTCATCCGCAGTTAAAAAAAAAAAAAAAAAAAAAAAAAAAAAAAAAAGCATATATGCCGAAGCATGGGGGCCTGGGGTGGCCAGTGGGTGGATGGCCCCTATGCTTTGGCATATATATTTAATATTTGTTGTCACATTTCATGTGTGTCCACCATTAGAAGTGGGTTGATGCAGGGAGGTATTCTAATGGTGGGCATACCACACTTTTTCTGGCAGAGATTTCTTCTCTTTTTTTTTCCTTTCAGCCCACAAGCTGCATAAAGATAAAAATAACATAGCATATATACCCAACAAGGACCAGCGACGTACTGGTACATCACTGGACTTTGAATGGTTATACCAGGGTGATGCCTGCAGCTGCAGGCATCATCCTAGTATTTTTTTTCAGCCGGTGATGGACTTTCATGTAAAAGCATTCCTGGTGGCTAATTAGCTGCAGGATTGCTTTTACAAGCAGCGGGAGAAAATGCCCCCCCTCCCCCTCCCTGAGATAGCATTAAAAGTGATAAAAAAAAAAAAAAAAAAAATAAAGGGACAGCGTAAAAATAATTAAATAAATCAGAAAAAAAAAAAAGTACCCTTGCCCACGCGCACCTGCAGTCGTGAGCGTTGACCCTGTGCCAGTATGGAAACAGCGATTGCCCCATGCATGTGAGGTATCGCTACGAACGTCAGATCAAGGGCAGTAATTATAGCTCTAGACCTCCTCTGTAAATCTAAAATGGTAGCTTGTAAAGGCTTTTAAAACATTGCCTATAGATATTAAAAATGTATGCAGTTTGTCGCCATTGCACAGGGCATGCGCAATTTTAAAGCATGTCATGTTTGGTATCTATTTACTCAGCATAGCATCATCTTTTATATCATACCAAATAATTGGCCAATATATTGTGTTTTTGTGCATTAAAATTAAAAATAAGTGTATATTGTTCAAAAAAATTGAAAAAAAATCGCCGTGTAAGTAATATGTGCGATAAAAAATTGCAGCCCCCCACCATTTTATTTACTAGGATGTCTGCTCTAAAAAAATATATAATGTTTGGGGGTTAACTTTAATTTCCTAGCAAAAATACAGATTTTTTTAATGTGAACAAAAAGTGTCAGAAAAGGCTTGGTCTTCAGGTGGTTAGAAGAGTGAGTGATGTGTGGCATAAAAAAATGACCCCTTTTTGGAAAGTAGACACCCCAAACTATTTGCTGAGAGGCATGTTGAATCAATAGAAAAATTTATTTTTTTACCACAAGTTTTTGGAAGATGACAAAAAAAAAAAAAAAAATTACACAAAATCTGCTACTTCTCCCGAGTATGGGGGTACCACATGTGAGAGACATTTTGGCAGTCTAGCCAAGTACAGGACCCCAAAATCCAATAAGCACCTTCAGGCTTTTAAAGGGCTTTATTTCCTCATTACACTTCCTGACTACCTATCACAGCTTCGGAAGCCCTGGAATGCCAGAATAGCACCAAACACCCCCCCCAAATGACCAATTTTTGGAAAGTAGACACCCCAAGGAATTTGATAAGAAGCATGGTGAGTATTTTTCAGACCTCATTTGTTTTTGGAAAATGAAGAAAACAAAAACATATTTTTATTTCTTTTTTTATATTTCAAAAACCTTGTGAGAAAAAATGAGATCTGCAAAATACTTACCATGCCTCTTTTTAAATTCCTTGGAGTGTCTACTTTCCAAAAAGGGGTCATTTGGGGGGGGGGGGGGGGGTGCTATCCTGGCATGTCAGGGCCTTCAAAACTGTGATAGGTAGTGGGGAAGTGAAATGAAGAAGTTACGCACCTTCAGGCTTTCGAAGTGGTCATTGGATTTCAGGCTCCTGTATGTGGCTAGGCTCCCAAAAAGTCTCACACGTGTGGTATCCTCATACTTGGTAGAAGTAGCAGAATGTATTTTGGGGTGTAATTCCACATATACCTATGGCTTGTGTGAGAAATAAATCATTTAAATGACAACTTTGTGTAAAAAAAAAAAAAAAAAAAAAAAAAAAAAAAAAGAAGAAGAAGGTTTTGTCATTTTCCAGAAACTTGTGGAAAAAAAAAAAAATCTCCCATGGACACCAAATGCCTCTCAGCAGATAGCTTAGGGTGTCTACTTTCCGAAAAGGGGTCATTTGGGGGTGTTTTTTTCTATCCTGGTATTTTAGCACCTCAAGAAATGTGATGGGCAGTCAGAAAGTAAAAGCTGTGTAAATTCCATTATCTATACCATAGTTTGTTGATGCTATAACTTTCACACAAAGCAATCAATATACACTTATTGGGATTTTTTTTACCAGAAACATGTAGCAGAATACATTTTGGCCTAAATTTATGACGAAATTTGAGATTTTTTGATATTTTTTTATGATGGAAATGAAAAAATAGTTTTTTTTTTTCAAAATTTTCGTCGTTTTTTTTTTTGTTTATAGCGCAAAAAATAAAAAAGCGCAGAGGTGATCAAATACCACCAAAAGAAAGCTCTATTTGTGTGAAAAAAAGGACGTAAATTTCATTTATGTACAGCATTGCATGACCGCGGAATTGTCAGTTAAACTAGCGCAGCGCTGTATAGCAAAAAAAGGCATAAATTGCAGTATCTATACCATAGTTTGTAGACGCTATAACTTTCGCACAAAGCAATCAATATACATTTATTGGGATTTTTTTTACCAAAAACATTTAGCAGAATACATTTTGGCTTAAATTTATGACTAACTTTGAGTTAACGATATTTTTTTTATAGCTGAAAGTAGAAAATATTTTTTTTTTATTTATTTTTATATATATATATATATATATATTTCATATATATATATATATATATATATATATATATATATATATATATATTTAGCGCAAAAAAATAAAAAGCGCACAGGCAACCAAATGATAAAATACCACACAAAAGAAAGCTCTATTTGTGTGAAAAAAAAAAAATTTTGTTTGGGTACAGAATTGCATGACCGCGCAATTATCAGTTGAATTAGTGCAGCGCCAAACAGCAAAAAAAGGCCTGGTCATTAAGGGGGGTAAATCCTCAGGAGCTCAAGTGGTTAAACAACCCCCACTGTTACTTAACTGACCAAATCAATATCCCAGGAGTTTGACTTGATTCTATACTCTGATTAAAAAGTGTTCCTTTAATTTTTTTGAGCAGTGTATATTATGTGCAACACTTTATTTTCATTCAAGAATATTCCTTCAGGTCAGGACAATAGTATAAATCAGCATTTACTTTGTTCTGTGATACTTTACTGTTTCATTTTTTTCCACATTAACGGTTTCAATATTGACTGCTTAGAACACCACATACATCAGCTTTCTGTAGCCATGGCACTTTTATACCTGTCAATGTAACCTGGATCATACTAATGCATCACCCGCTCTATGCTCTTTAATATTCATGTTGTTTATATGGTGTTCTTTTGTATCTCTGTAGTGTGCTCCTTGCACAAAATAAATAATTCCAAACCAAAAAAAGGAAAAGGTGAACTTTAACTGTTAAGTTAGCACAGCATTGGGTTGGTTATCTGTACTCATGTGAGGCTGCAGATATATCTTTTTGTACTTGCTCCAGCCCAGGTGTTGTTTTTGTTGTTGGAGCTGTGCCCCATCTGGGCCTCCATGCTTTTCAGAAATTCCTATCCTTGGGACATGAAAAATCTTTCATGAAACCTCTCAGTGCCTCTCCTCTCCAGAGGGACCCTCCTGGTCTACAGGCCAACCATGACCAGCTCTGACTGTTTTCTTGAAGTCCTGGTTCACACCGCTGCGACTTGTCATGTGATTTGACAGTTTCAAATCACATGACAAGTCACACCCTATTTGTCAGCAAGGCGCACTTTGTCGGACAACATGAATACCCTTTTTGTTTGTATATCATTTTTTTTTTTTCATTATTATACTATGGCCTGCGCCATCTTATATTCTTTCCTAGGCAAAAATGACATGCTTTGCTCCTGGTGCCTCCTAGGTTCTGCACGCCACATCCCAGAAGGCACAGGTTTCCACTTAGCAAACGGAGAAGTGTGTTGGATGCAGATAATTCAGTCAGCTTAGCTCTGCAACAGAGTGAAAAGCTTTGGTGTGGCAATGAAATTGACAAGTGTGTGGAAAGGTCATGATCAGACCTTTTATGTTAAAAGGGATGAGACACAGGCACAGGTCTGGCATTGTTTTAAATTCTTTATTTGCTGCACCATTAGGAAGCAAGGTCATCTCTTGGGCTAAAGATACTACCAGGATAGATGAAGCAAAAATAAATATTTTGATGTAGACAGCTTCAATTACATTTGTTACAACAGTCCAAGGTCTTACCTTATCAGGATGAACTACAAGCACTGCTTTCCTATAATATTTTTTCACTTGATCAGGGGTTACCAGTTCAGCCATGTTAACAGGCTTCCACTTTGTTTCTCCTTCCCAAAGTACAGTGTGCAGGGTAGATATCAAAGCTCGTATATTCCTTTCTTTACCTTCTATCCAGTCTAAAATCTACAAAGTAAACAAGTGTTTTAGTCTCTGCACAGTCCAAAAAAAAAAAAAAAAAAAAACTAGCCAAGTTATTTCTCTCCACATCTCAAAATGCATCACATATATGCAATTCAAACATTTTCTCTCATAATAGAATAAACATACTATTATTTTTTTTTTTTTTTTTTAGAAGTTTTCATTGCAACTTGCAAGTAAATTTTGTTGCCAGAGGATGACTTAAAATGTACCTATACTGTCACAAGTCACAAAAAAAAAAATAATAATAATAATAGGAGGTTGGACATCAAGAAAGCAGGCATGGACCCTGCTACTGATCATATCCTTATCCACCGAGAGGATGCAGCCTGATGTGAACCAGCTCAAATGTTCCTATTGCTGTAGTGGAATGAGCTGTGAAAAACTAGGGGCTACTAGAATACTGGGATCCCAGCAGAAACAGATTTTACAAAACAGCGCAGAGTCCATTCTCCCAGGTCAAACTTTGGTGGTTTAGAAAGTCCACCATCCATTCGTCAACCACAAATAATGGGCTGCGCACGGCTCCAGAAAATGATGTTCAGCTCAAGCAAGGTTGTGCCTCTTTCCTGCTGTCTGGCTCCTTGATGACTTATGTGGGCCACTGCAGAGACATTGTCAGACTGAAACCTAACTGAAGATGGTTGTCCAGTGTAGAAGAGACAGAAGGATTGCCCTTACCTCCAGAAATGTGATCAGACTAGTTTCCTCCTGCATTCAGTAACCCAGTACCATCAAGGTGTTGAGAATTCCACTGCAGCTGTCGTTTGCATCCATGGTGAGTTACTTCCAGCATAAAGGAAGGACCAACCCCATAAAACCATTGATGACGAAGCAAATCACAGCTGTTCTAGCTTGGTTTAAACACATGGAAATCCTCCTTCCTCGAGATAATGGAGGACCTTGTCTCATTTGGACAGAATACAACATAGGGGACATCTGGTATTAAACTGAATGTTCTTGAAGAGGAAGACCACTAGCCCCAGAACGTACATACACACGAGGGAAGGAAAGCAAAGTTGAGCTTGAAGAAAGGAGATTTTCTGTCTAAATACTCTCACCTTTGCAAGAGAAAGAAAAATCATCTCCAAGGTGTCTAACAGCATATCAAGGTACTCTAGGTTTTGTGTTCACGTCAGACAGGACTTACTGTTATTCACAAGCAAGCTGAAACTCTGAAGAGTCTTCAGGGTGACCTGTATTTTGATCTGCATTTCCTTGCAGGACAGAACCTGATGAGGAACTTGAAGTATCAAGTGAGTGAGGTTACTCAAGTAAATCTAGTATAGAAGGCCAGGGTTTTGCTGTGGCTAGGTCACAAAAGTAAAGTTCTTCGGCTGTGAAGTGCAGTAAGCACTGGTGCAGAGGAAAGCTACAGACACGGCATGTTCACAGAGCCCATAAAATCTCCTTGTTCCAGAGAGCAGCACCAGACTTCATAGACTCCCCGTAGAACTTCCAGAGTCAAAGACATTAAAAGCCTTGAGGTCCCGGATGTACTAGACTGTATTGTCTCATTTTGGGGCCGTAAACTGGTTTGAATTGAACTCCTTATGCATGCCAGAGGTTAAATCGGAAACAACAGGGAAGGGGGTCGGGGGGGGGGGGGGGATTTGTGGGGCAAAGTGAAAGTGTCTCTTCTTAGCGCAAGTTGACAGTGTCTCCTTAAAAGTATCCTAGGTGCATGGCCTGAGTGGCACTGCAAATACCATCACTACATGATTACGAAGTGAATGGGTTAACAGCATTGCTCATGCAGCTAGAAGGACACAAGCTCCACTCACTTCCTGACAAAGGTAAACTAAAAAATGAGTCCTCTGACATATAACCAGTATACTAATGTTCCTCCTGGTCTATGCCAACTACTGGGGCTCAAATGGTGTTGGTATCAGGGATATAAAAACGGTAAGCTGCCAGAGTACAGGGTGATTGCTGTATATAGCAAACATTCAGTAAAACAAGTAAATAAAGATGGTCCAGCTAACTGTTATAAAAAGAAGAACTAGAGAAATCTCAACATACACCCCCCCCCCCCCCCCCCCCCCCCCCCCCACCCCCACGCAGTGGAAAATAACAGCACCATCCATTAACAGCCCTACTTACTGAAGGTGCCTATGCAGCAGACAATCCCCAAGGGTGGTGGACCACAGTGTACCTCTTTAACTGCAGAACTCATTAACAAATAGAAACAACACAGATTGTATTGAAAATTTTATTTTCAGGACTTGGCGACCTTGGTGTAATGTGGTGTGGAAGGGGCTAAAGTCAATCTCCAAGGTTTGGGGACCAAGAAATGACACTGAACAAACCACAAAGTAGTATATCTCCAAAATCTTGCATCTCAATGTGACACTGCCAGCAGCATAAAATCTTCAAGCTTGAACCAACAGAGCTAGGAAAACTATCCTACCACCTTAGTATAAGCAAAACTGGAACTGACTGTGCAGGAGGGTAAAGAAGGCTACAAAATCAATAGCCAACCCTGTATCCCAACCATAATCCTTTCAACAGTCCTGCTAGTATCCATGCATCAAACAATATGGAAGGCATGGAGATAAAGTATGCCAGCTATTGAAATGATAAATCAGTACAATGCATTTGTTCTACCAGATATAGTCAACAAGGTTCAGAAAGATAGGAGTGATCTCACACACTTAAAAGAGCAAATTAATAGATTTTTTTGTTTGATGAGCTAAATAAACATTGATTTTAAGAGAAATTTAAAAAAATCTCTGCTCTCTTCATAGTTAATGTGGAATTAAAGGCTAACCCTTACTATTATTACCCTGTTGCCGCCTGTGTAACACATGTGTGAAAACAAAAGGGTGGGTTTTAACGTCCACACGCAGCACATATGCGTCACTGGGTGGCCAATGTTTCTGTGCTGGGAGAGCGCTCACCCAGTACAGAAACCGAGCTAAGACAGCTCTCTCGGTCCCCTGCCAATTGGTAGCCAGTGGGACCTGTTTATGATCATGTGACCACTACGACGACCAATCACAGTGGTCACAGAATGGCCAATCCTTCCTGCCACTTGGGCACAGAGACCCTATTAAAAAGGGACACCGAGTCCATTTTGGTCTGTTCTCGTGATCCTGCAGTTCTACTCTTCCTGTATCAAAGTGTGGTGCCAACAATGGCTGGGCCGTGGGAGCCTATGGGTGATTTCAGGGCTTCCGAATTCCCAGCTGTTGTCAGGCACTCCATGGAGCAGAGAAGCAGGAGCTGCAGGATCACATGACCAGACTGGGCCAAAAAAGCATACAGATTCTTTTTTCTTTTTACAGAGGGTAGACAGTATAGGCAAAAGGAGGGAGAGGGAACATTTTTAATAATAGTGTTAGGCCTAAATTCACGTTAACTTTGCAAAGAAGAATAAATAAATGATATTCCCCTATAAACAGATAAATATGTTTTTATCAGAACCATCTGCTGTTTTTCTCAAGATTAAAAGAAAAAACACTTTAAAATGTTCCATGCATACTTTCAGTTTTAGTGGGTCAATTTCTCTCGTCATTTCTTGTCTTCTCATTTCAGCAATAGTTCTGGGACCCCTGCTGTCTGTTCTAGCTGAAAACCCCTGGTTAGAAAGCAGGTCTCCAAAATCACTCTCTAAAACTTTTGGTTTTGGCCCTGAAACGAAATACATAATTATGTAGGTTTAGTAAAACGCACGCACGCACACATTAACCATCCTCTCCCCTCTTAAACAGCATGCATCTTACCAAAACCTGGAGCTCTGATGCCCCTTTCTTCCCTGCGTCCAATAACACTGAAATTCGCACTGTAGTTAGGCTTGCTGTTGATGCCAGTTTTAGGTTGTGACTGCCAAGAGTTACTTGTGGTTTGAGGCTTTGGAGACAGTCTGGAGGTGCTTTTTTGGAAAGACTTTTCACTGGATTGTGAAGAAGATTGAGACGATGATCCTGATAACAAGAAAATGAGTTATACTTGTACAAAAGCTAACCCCCACTAGTGTTGAAATGCATCTTATATACCACACTTATTATTAAATGAGGCTACCCACTTAAAGCAGAATTCCAGGGGGACAGCCAAATGCACATATTGGAGTTGTATTTACCAAAGGATTAGCATTTTTGTCTTTCCAGTAGTGACACTTACAGGGTTCTGCCACACAGGCTGCAGTTAAGTGACACCTACAGGGCTTGTTTCTCCCCCAGCCTGTGTCTGGATAGTGAAAAGAGAAACAGCAGACAGACAAGCTCCGCTCCCTGTCACTCTGCTCTCTCTTTCGATCAGAATATTCTTTATTAGCACATGAGCACTGCAGAACAACTGATTGCCTCCCTGGGTTCTTCTCCCTCCTCCAGACTGCACTCTTGCTGTACAGTGGATTGTAAGGGACTAATTACAGGTAAAAATCAGATACTTACTCTGCTGGCATTAAAACAAACAAAAAAATTATAGATGGAGGATTTACCCCCCTTCCTGTCCAGGCCATTTTATGCGATACGGCGCTGCTTTACTTTACTTTAAATGTGCGGTCATGCAGCGCTGCACCCAAATGAAATTTATGTCCTTTTTTTCCCCCCACAAATGGAGCTCTCTTTTGGTGGTGTTTGATCGCATCTGTGTTTATTTTTTGTGTTAAAAAAAAAACAATATTTTGGGCTTTTTGCTATAAAACGTATCCAGTAAAAAATTTTTAAAAATCTAATTTTGTCAGATTTTTTTTTATACTAGTAATAGCAGCGATCAGCAACTTCTAGCGAGACTGCGGGCATTCTGAAACTGGGGGGGGCACTAACTGCCACTGACATCCCCAGTGACACTAAGAGCAATACAAAGCAGCATGCTGGTGCAGATAGGGGAGAGATCTGTATTGTTTACATACAGACCTCTCCCCTGTCAGTGTTCCTTGACTATAGCCGGGTGCCGGCGGGGAATCTCCAGCCGGGACAGGGTGATCGACAGCTGTAGCTACCAATGGCACGTGTGCCCCTACCCAGAAATGCAAAATCACATATATACACACATACATACAGTTGTGATCAAAATAATAGCAGTCAGACATCACTAACCTGATCAATCACTGTTTTTGGTAGAAATGATATTTCTACATGGCAAATAATTTACTAGCAGGTGTAGTAGAGTAATAGAAATCCAACAGACCCAACAGTCATGACATGCATGCTGCTGATTCTGTGTAATTGAATCACTAATTGAAAGGGGCATGTTCAAAATAATAGCAGTGTGGAGTTCTATTAGTGAGGTCATTCATTCTTTGAAAAACAGGTGGCAATTATTGCCCCTATTTAAGGAAGGAAGGCAGCAAATGTTGTACATGCTGGTTACAATGCGTCTCTCTCTGAAATACTGAGGAAAATGGGTCGCTCCAGACATTGTTCAGAAGAACAGCGTACCTTGATTAAAAAGTTGATTGGAGAGGGGAAAACATATAAAGAAGTGCAGAAAATGATAGGCTGCTCAGCTAAAATGATCGCAAATGCTTTAAAATGGCAACCAAAACCTGAAAGACGTGGAAGAAAGCAAAAAAATACCATTCAAATGGATAGAAGAATAGCCAAAATGACAAGGACTCAGCCAACAATCAGCTCCAGGAAGATCAAAGAAGATCTAAAGTTACCTGTGAGTACTGTTACAATTAGAAGACACCTATGTGAAGCCAAGCTATCTGCAAGAAGCCCCCGCAAAGTCCCACTGTTGAAATAAAGACATGTGCTGAAGAGGTTACAATTTGCCAAAGAGCACATTGACTGGCCTAAAGAGAAATGGCGCAACATTTTGTGGACTGATGAAAGTAAGATTGTTCTTTTTGGGTCTAGTGGCCGGAGACAGTTTGTCAGACGACCCCCAAACACTGAATTCAAGCCACAGTACACTGTGCAGACAGTGAAGCATGGTTTTGCAAGCATCATGATATGGGGATGTTTCTCATACTATGGTGTTGGGCCTATTTATCGCATACCAGGGATCATGGATCAGTTTGAATACATCAGAATACTTGAAGAGGTCATGCTGCCTTATGCTGAAGAGGAAATGCCCTTGAAATGGGTGTTCCAACAAGACAACGACCCCAAACACACCAGTAAACATGCAACATCTTGGTTCCAGACCAACAAGATTGACGTTATGGAGTGGCCAGCCCAATCCCCAGATCTTAATCCAATAGAAAACTTGTGGGGTGGCATCAAAAATGCAGTTTCTGAGGCAAAACCAAGAAATAGAGAAGAACTGTGGAATGTAGTCCAATCATCCTGGGCTGGAATACCTGATCACAGGGGCCAGAAGTTGGTTGACTCCATGCAACACAGATGTACAGCAGTTCTCAGCAACAGTGCTTATACAACTAAATATTAAGTGATTCAAAGGAAAGCAAAATCTTCAAACATTTTTCAGTTTATATAGTGAATGTTTGAGTTTGTAAAGAAGAATACAAACACTGCAATTTTTTTGAACAGTCTAATATTCACTTTTCTTCAATTTTGTTTAGAGGAACAACACAAAATTTGTAGTGTTCCCAATGCATTTGTGTGTATGGAAATAAAAGCTATTAGAAGGATTTTGAGCTTTATTCACTTTTTTCAACACACTGCTATTATTTTGAACACAACTGTATATATACACACACACACACACATATATATATACACACATTATATATATATATATATATATATATAAAATTACGTTAATATATAGTAGCAGCTAAGAGCAGAGTAACGAAGCTTGTGATGGTACTGTGATGGTACTGAGCAGGGAGAAGCTGCCTATACTACTTCTCTGTCTAAGACAGACAAGGTGATGTCAGCACTTTCTAATTTTAATTAGAATGGGTTGGTTAGGTGACAAGTCATCCTGAAAGGAGGAGGATCACCTTCATAGGAATTGGGGCCTCTTAGGAGGAAAAAGGCTCAGATTTATCAATATATTGAAGAACAGAAACACAGCAAATTGAAAAGACATCATGTGTGACAGATATGCAAAGCTCTAACCAAATATCAAATAATTATTTTGCCTGGAGTTCAGCTTTAATGATGTATTAATGAATACAAAGCTGCATTCATCTGTGTCTTTTATGACTACCTGTACTATAGCTTTTATTTACAACCCTAATTCCAAAAAAATGAGATGCTATGTAAAATCTACTTAAAAGCAGAATACAATGACTTGCAAATCTCAAACCCATATTTTATTCACAATAGAAAACGCTGGAAATGTTTAAACTGAGAATGTGTACCATTTTAAGAAAAAAATAAGGTAATTTTGAAATTGACGGCAGCAACAGGTCTCAAAATTAGGACAGGGCAATGTCTACCATGATGTAGCATCCCTTCTTTTAACAGCATTCCGTAAACATCTGGGAACGGAGGAAACTAGTTGTTGGAGTTTTGGGAGAGGAATGTTATCGCATTCTTGGCTGAAATAGGATTCTAACTGCTCAACTGTCCTGGGTGGTCTTTGTTGTAATTTTTGTTTGAAGGGTAGATGCACCACATATTTCCAATTGGTGGAAGGTCTGGACCACAGGCAGGCCAGGAAAGCAGCTGGACTCTTCTACTAAGAAGCCATGCTGTTGTCCTAGATGCTGTATGCGGTTTAGCATTCTTTTGCTGAAATACACTGGGCTTTCTATTCTAAAGCTGGACAGTGCAAAATCGGGTGCACTTCCGCACAGAAACCAATCAGTTTCCAGGTTTTATTGCCAGAACTTATTTAAACAAGCTGAGGTTAGAAGCTGATTGGCTACCATGCACAGCTGCACCAGATTCTGAGTGAACCAGGTTTAGTAAATCTTTAGACTATTATTAGTATTTTGACCAAATCATCATTTTTATGCATATTGTCCAACTCCAAGCTGTATAAACTTCAATGCTTTTTGGATTTAAGCAGTGGGGCACCGAAATAAAAATTCTGGTACCGAAACCAAAAATTTAGGATGCAGTCGGCTGAAAACCAAAAGGTCTGCGTATGTGGGGATGAGGAGGCTTAAATTTTGTATTTTTTTTACTTTTAATGTGTTACTTTTTTTAAATTCTGATTTTATTGCTATCACATTGCTATCATCAATAGTCCCCTATGTAATAGCATATAAGTGACAGGTCCTCTTTGTGGGGGAAAGTTGTGCAAGAAAGGGGCAGGAGAGGAGCAGTCATTCGCCCTGTCGCTGAAGTAAACAAAGGGGCGGGGTCACTGGGTGACCCCGCCCCTCTGTTTACTTTAGTGGGGGGGTGAATGACAGCTTGTTTTTGGAGCTATAAAGTGAAGAAAAGAAAAAAAAAGCCAGCAATTGCATTTAAAAACCGGCAATGACATTTAGTGGTAGCAAGTGAAAGAGCCTGTCTGTATACACTGCTTGCCTCCTGACATTTTCTTAGTTGCATCCTACAGCAAAAGCCATGGTCTGCAGCTTCCAAAGCATCAGAGGGATCTCATTGTTAAAAGGTATCAGTAAGGAGAAGGGTACAAAAGAATTTCCAAGGCATTAGACATACCATGGAACACAGTGGAGACAGTCAACATCAAGTGAAGAAAATATGGCGCAACAGTGACATTACCAAGAACTGGACTTCCCTCTAAAATTGATGAAAAGAAAACTGGTCTGGTAGGCTCCCAAGAGGCCTACAGCAAAATTAAAGGAGCTGCAGGAATATCTGGCAAGTACTGGCTGTATGGTACATGTGACAACAATCTCCCGTATTCTTCATATGTCTGGGCTATGGGGTAGAGTGGCAAGATGGAAGCATTTTCTTATGAAGAAAAACATCCAAGTTTGGCTAAATTTTGCAAAAACACATCTGAAGTCTCTCAAAAGCATGTGGGGAAAATGTGTTATGGTCTGATGAAACCAAGGTTGAACTTTTTGGCCATAATTCCAAAAGATATGTTGGGCGCAAAAACAACACTGCACATCACCAAAAGAACACCATACCCACAGTGAAGTATGGTGGTGGCAGCATCATGCTTTGGTTCTGTTTTTCTTCAGCCGCTGGAACTGGGGCCTTAGTCAAGGTAGAGGGAATTATCTCCAAATACCAGTCAATACTGGCACAAAACCTTCAGGCTTCTGCTAGAAAGCTGAACATGAAGAGGAACTACATGTTTCAGCATGACAACGACCCAAAGCATACATCCAAATCAACAAAGGAATGGCTTCACCAGAAAAAGATTAAAGTTTTGGAATGGCTCAGCCAGAGCCCAGACCTGAAGCCTATCAAAAATCTGTGGTGTGATCTGAAGAGGGCTGTGCACAGGAGATGCCCTCACAATCTAACAGATTTGGAGTGTTTTTGCAAGGAAGAGAGGGCAAATATTGGCAAGTCAAGATGTGCCAAGAGTCCTGTAATAAAATCAAAAGGTGCTTCAACAAAAGTATCAGTTTAAGGGTGTGCACACTTTTATTAAATTACACAATATTTTAGTTTGAAATCTTTTAGGCGGAGGGAAGTAAAAATATAAGTTTGTTGTTCAACTGAGTTGTAGTTTATAGGTCACGTTAAAAGGTGGAAAAAGTTCTGAAATTATTTATCTTTGTCTCATTTTTTTACATCACAGAAACCTGACATTTCAACAGGGGTGTGTAGATTTTTTATATCCACTGTAGATATTATCCTAAGAAAGCCAAAACCTCACTTTTACTTTCTTAGATATTCAGGTTTGACATTTATAAACATTTTGGACTGACCAAGAGCACTGTAGTTATTCAATAATGAAATTAATCATCAAAAATACAACTTGTCTAATAATTGCACGCACAGTGTATGCAAGGTCTTCCCTGAAAAAGATGTAGTCTGGATAGGAGCATATGCTGCTCTAAAATCTAGATATCTTTTATCATTGATGGTGCCTTTCTAGATGTGCAAGCTGCCCATTCCATATGCCCTAATGCACCCTCATGCAGGTTTTTGAACCGAGCACTGATCAGACAGAAAAGTCCCTCTCCTGTTTAGCTAGAAGGACACAGCGTCTATAGTTGCCAAAAGGAATGTAAAATTTCATTTGTCTGACCACAGAACAGTTTTCCACTTTGCAACAGATCATTTTAAAATGAGCTTTGGCCTATAGAAGAGGGCAACTTTTCTGGATCATGTTCAAATATGGCTTCTTCTTTGCATGATAGAGCTTTACCTTGTATTTTTGGATGGCAAGGCAAACTGTGTTCACAGAGAGTGATTTTTGGAAGTATTCCAATGCAGTGTTGTCCATTACAGAATCATGCTTGTTTTTAATGCAGTGATGTCTGAGGGCCCGAAGATCACAGGCATCCAATATTGCATTTTAGCTTTGTCCCTTGCGCACAGAAAATTCTCCAGATTCTCAATAACTTTTGATAATATGTTCTATAGAGCAGGGGTATTGAAATAAAATTCACAGTGGACCGTTCAGGAAAATTTTTTTGGAGCAGAGGCCTGAATCCGACATTTGTCCGATGGCTCAAATTACCTTACATTGCAGCCCCCCCCCCCCACACACACGCGCACACACACATTTCCCTTACATCAGTTTCCTCTGTTCCCCCTGCACATCACAGTATCTCCTTCACATTAGTGTCCTCAGCCCCCCCCCTTTTCACATCACAGTTACACCACCTTTACGTCACAGTCCCCCTCCACATCACGGTCATCCCCTTTACGTCACAGTGCCCCTCCCCGCCCCTTAACGTTACAGTTTCCCTACACGCCAAAGTCCCTCCTCTTTATGTCTCTTTCCTCCTTATCCTCCCTTCACAGCACTACCCTCACCTCCTCCATTATAGCAGTGTTCTGAGCCCCCCTTTATAGCAGTGTCCTCAAACCCCCTTTAAAAAAGTGTCCTCTCCCCGCCTCTCCTTCCCTTTCACAGCAGCATTTCAGTCCCACTTTACATAGGGCAAATCTGGATGGAGGATGGGATTTGTCCAAATTTTCTTGTTAAAGGGTTAATAAACCCACAACCCTGCATTCATTCTATCTGGTCTCCCACAGTATACAGAACATGGAAATGCAATTATTTTAGTAAATATAAACTGCTAAATACCTTTTCTCATCAGCAGTTAGAGCAGTCTTGTGACTTCTATAAGTGTCCAGCAGAGCACTGGTTAAAGCTTGTAGGAGGCGGTTTCATTTTGCTGTAGGAGGATGCAGGACCCCTGACCTCTGTCTGGACAGTGCTGATTGACCCTGTGCTGATCACATGCACACTCTCAAGAAAAAAAAAAAAAAACCCTCTCTAGCAATATACACCAAACTGAGCATGTGCAGAGTGTCTCCACACGATAGAGGGTGACACTGGAAGAAGGCGAGGATCAGAGAAATCAGGATTAAACAGCCTTTCTACACAATGCAGAGGATTAACCCCTTAGGTTCCACAGTGAGTATAACCAGCATGATTTACTGCATATATAGTTAGGTCCATATATATTTGGACACAGGCACAATTTTGTTTTTTTTCAGGTATTTTCCAGAACATATTCAAGCTATAGTTATAGAAAGTGCACACTATCAGGTTTAATTTGAGGTATGTACATCCAAATTGGAGGAAAGGTTTAGGAATTACAGCTCTTAAGAGTACAATCAAAATGTGAAGTGAAAAAATGCTGCGCTACATAAAACAATGGCACAATCCTTGTATAACCAAAAAACAAAGTGAAAAAATAAAAATATATTAGAAGATACAACAGTAGAAAAAGTATTAATATTTCAATAAAAATATATAAATACAAAAAAATAAAAATATATAAATAATTATATATATATATATATATATATATATATATATATATATATATATATATATATATATATATATATAAAACAAAAACCACACAAAAAAAGTATGAATCAAACAAAAGTCATTCAAAAACGCAAATTCAATCAATAACATGTTCATTCAGTGAACCCACCTTTGGATAATGAAAAATATGTACATCTGTCATCAATTCCCGTGCAAAGACATCCTCCACCATATATCTGCTCACCTCACGCAGTGTGACCTCACATTATACAATGCTACAGTCTAACTGCACTTTTGGTCCCATATGGACTCAGGAGATCAGCTTGCTGAATGAAGACTCCAAAGTAGCTCCCTCCTGATGAGCGTGTTTGTATCAACCGTATTCCCCATTAAAAAGAACTCAACATAGTGTTTTTAGTGCTAAACTTTTATTCATCAATAAAACATAAGAAATACTCACGTTCCGGAGGTGTATTTTGCACCAGGTATGATGAAGATCCAGTAATGTATTGATTAAACACAAGGTGGCAATATCATCTCAGTAGCAGAGTCCTGTACAGGCTCAAAACAGACTCCATACGTATTGTAATGCAAGGCAAAGCACGGCCCACTTAATGAATGCTATTGCCTGCTGTAATGTCATTCCAAGAGCTGTTTGTAGAGTGCTACAACCGCTATCCCGTTGAATGGTAATGCTGTGACGTCATCCGCACACAGTGTGCGGATGACATCCAACGTTACCATTCATTGGGATAGCGGCCTGTAGTACTTGGAACGACATTGCAGCAGGCAATAGCATTCATTAACCGGTTGCCGAGCAGCCACAGTACATTTAGTGCGGCAGGGCGGCACCGCTGCGCAAAATCACGTGTATATATACAGCCACAGCCAATCGCGGCCACGGGTGTCGATCACCGGGTCCTGGCCGGTGATTACGCGCATGAGCCCGGTGATTACTGAAAAACACTGACAGGGGGGACGGTTGCAGTGTTAACATTGCAGCTCTCCTCCCTGTCAGTTTCCAGCACACTGTTCCGGATTGCAGTGTGTAACAGTGAAGAACACACACCCCCGCCCCCTAGTGAAACACTCCCCTCACACAGTTAATGCTTTGATTGCCTCCAAGAGTTAACCCCTTCCTGCCCAGTGCCATTAGTACAGTGTCAGTGTGTTTTTTTTTTTTGCACTGATCACTGTATTGGTGTCACTGGGGATGTCAGTGACCCCAAGTCGGTTCTCCCCCAGTGTCAGAATGTCCACCGCAGTCCCGCCATAAGTCGCTGATTATTATTAGTATATATATAATAAAAAAAAAAATACAGTATATATACCGCCATTTGTAAACTCTATAACTTTCACGTAAACCAATTAATTTACACGCATTTTTTTCAGCAAAGACGTAACAGAATACATTTTGGCCTAAATTTATGACTAAATTTGATTTTTAAATTTTTTTACTGGACATGTTTTATAGCAAAATGTCCAAAATATTTTTTTTTTTCTCAAAATTGGTCTTTTTTTTTTATAGCGCAAAAAATTAAAAATGCACAGGCAATCAAATACCACTGAAAAAAAAGCACAATTCGTGGGGGAAAAAAAAAGGACGTAAATTTCATTTTGGTGCAGAAATTACACTACAAAGCGGCACAGATGCACAAAATCACATATATACATTTAACCTCCCGATTGCCAGGAGCACGCTCATATGCAATAAACCTCCATTGCTAGTATAGTGTCTGAACGGATCAATATCTTTGATCAGGTCAGCACTATACCAGCGTTCACACTAGTATAGCGTCCCCAAAAACGCAGCGTTAGTGGAATCAGCCCTGGCACCTGCCAGCACCTGCGTTTAGCCCCTATGCTTAACCCCCTCCCCTTTCCTCCAGCAAGTGCAGTGTCAGTATGTCACTGTCACTTGATACATTGCACACAAAACCGCAGTGTTCGCAGAATCAGGCCTGATCTCTGTTAGCACTGGCTGGTAAATTTTGGTGACTTTCGTATGCAGCAGAGTGCCAATACTAGTGCTGCGCTACCTTTTGGTGAACTGGCGAGCACCAGCGGCCTAGTACATCCTGGTCTTTCACATACCAGCACTGCAGTATCACTTCGTGACGTGGCGAGTCCCATAAGTGTAGTACAAGCTAGTGCGGTGGTGTTGTCCCGCAACCACCAAGAATTCAACACAGGCCTGTAGAGCCCATAGTTTCCTTCCGGATGTGCTTGCAAATTCTAATTGGTATCTCACAAATTCTGCAGCAGCCGTACTTCCCCCATACACTGCCCAACCAGGAATTCAGGTGGAAACAGCAAATTTAACTACTCCCCCTTGATTTTTTTTTTTTTGGATTTTTTTTTAGCTGCTGTTTTTAATGGTATATCTGTATGCATTGATTGTGGATCAAAGCAATTTGTATGCACAACAATTTATCGCCGCCAACCCAAATTTAAACCTTGCCAGACCATTCGCATGGACACCCATTATGGTTTCCGAATTTATATTTTTTTTTGGGCCTAACCCTCAACATGGGCATTACAAAAAAAAATTAATTGCTGTTGTATTGACCCACAGACCCGATTGATCATATGCCCGTGTTCTCTGCTGCCATGGCTAGGCATAGATTTGAGAGTATAATGTGTTCTATGCATTTCAACGACAATACACTCTGTCGTCCTTGAGGTGACCCTAAGATTGACCAGCTCCACAAAATTCAGCCCCCCGCAAATCACCTTAACAAAAAATTTGCAGATGTCTATACTCCCCAGCAAAAAATCTGCATTGATGAGACCATTAATTTTTCTGGCTGCCTTGCATTCAAATAATTTCTCCCCAGCAAGCATGCCAGATATGGGGTCAAGATGTAGAAGACCTGTGAGAGGGCAACAGGCTATACATATAAGTTTTGGATTTACGAGGGAATAGACACATGGAGCCCCCCGGATGCCCAGACTACATGGGGAGTAGTGGCAAGATACTTTGGGACTTGGTGTCATCCTTTTTCCATATGGGATACCACTTATACGTGGACAATTTTTATTCAAGCGTGCCACTACAGTATTTAGACATTTGTACAATCTTGGAACTGGCATGTGGCAAAGTGTGACATAATGTATGCCCACCATTAGAAGTGGGTGGATGCAGGGTGGTATATTCTAATGGCGGGTATACCAAACACTTTTTCTGGCAGATATTTTTTTTTTCATTCAGTCCACAGGCTGCATACAAAAAAAAAAAAGAACATAGCATAAATACCCAACAAGGATCAGCGACGTACTGGTACATCCCTGGATTTGAATGGTTATACCAGGATGATGCCTACAGCTGCAGGCATCACCCTAGTATAATTTGTTTCAGCCGGCGTCCAGCTTTCATGTAAAAGCTATCCTAGTGGCTAATTAGCTGCAGGATTACTTTTACAAGCAGTGGTAGATGATGCCCCCCCCCCTCCCCCGCTGCCTTCCATGGCCTTCTCAGGCAGTCCCGTGCCATCAGGGGAACCAGAGAATGCAGCCGGTGTTTCTGCCAGCTGACCATAGAGCTGATTGGAGACCAGAATGGTGCCAATCATCTCTATAGTCTAAGAATTCGGAAGCTACGAGCATTTCATCACTTCAATTTTGCAGGATATAAACAGCGCCATTTGTAAATTGATAAAGCATGTGATCATGCCGATCTTGCGGAGATCAGATGATGTAAGGGCAGAGGAAATATCTAGAGTCTGATAGACCCCAGATTTCTCAAAAAAGAATATATGACAATGCCCATTGTAGTTATAGGGGATATTTGAATACCCAAGTAATAAAAAAAAAAAAAAAAAATGAAAGGGACAGTGTAAAAATAATAATAAAAAAAAAAATCAAAATAACTTAAAAAGAAAAAAAAAACCTTGCTCCCCCACACGTGCACACCTGTGAATGTCAGATCAAGGACAGTAATTTTAACACTAAACCTCCTTTTTTTTTTTTTTTTTTAAATTTGCTTTTGAAAATCACTGCGCGAGTACTATGTGACATAAAAAATTGTACACCCACCATTTTATTCACTAGGGTGTCTGCTTTAAAAAAATATATAATGTTTGGGGGTTTAAATTAATTTCCTCGCAAAATTACAGTTTTTTTTCACGTGAACAAAAAGTGTCAGAAAAAGCTTGATCTTCAGGTGGTTAGAAGAGTGAATGATGTGTGGCATAAACTTCTAATGCTGGGCATAAAATGCCCCTACCCCCCAAAACGACCCCTTTTTGGAAAGTAGATACCCCAAACTATTTGAGAGGCATGTTGAATCAACAGAAGAATTTTTTTTTTTACCAGTGTTTGGAAAAATGACAAAAAATAAATTTTTTTTACACTAAATTGTCACTGAAGTTATTTACTGCTCACGCATGCCATGGATATATGTGGAATTACTCCCCAAAATACACCACATGTGAGAGAAGTTTCGGCAGTCAAGCCAAGTACAGGACCCCTAAATCCGATAAGCACCTTCAGGCTTTCAAAGGGCTTTATTTCCTCATTACACTTCCTGACTACCTATCACTGTTTCAGAGGCCATGAAATGCCAGGATAGCACCCCCCCCCCCCCCAAAATTACCTCTTTTTGGAATGTAGACACCCCAAGGAATTTGATAAGAAACATGGTGAGTATTTTGCAGATCTCGTTTGTTTCCACAAGTTTTTGAAAAATGAAGAAAAAAAACAAAACATTTTTTTCTGTTTTTATATTTCAAAATCTTGTGAGAAAAAATGAGATCTGCAAAATACTCACCATGCCTCCTTTTTAAATTCCTTTCCAAAAAGGGTCATTTGGGGGGGGGGGGGGGGTTGGTCCTTCGAAACTGTGATAAGTAGTGAGGAAGTGAAATGAGGAAGTTAGGCACCTTCAGGCTTTCAAAGTGGTCATTGGATTTCAGGCTCCTGTATGTGGCTAGGCTCCCTAGTCTCACACACGTGGTATCCCCATACTCTGTAGAAGTAGCAGAATGTATTTTTGGGTGTAATTACACATATACCCATGGCTTGTGCAACAGATATATCTAAATGACAACTTTGTGTAAAAAAAAAAAAAAAAAAAAAAAAAGTTTTTGTAATTTTTCAGAAACTTGTGGAAAAAAAATAAATCTTCCATGGACTCAATATGCCTCTCAGCAGATAGCTTAGGGTGTCTGCTTTCCGTGTGTTTGTACTATCCTGGTATTTTAGCACCTTAAGAAATGTGATGGGCAGTCAGAAAGTAAAAGCTGTGTAAATTCCATTATCTATACCATAGTTTGTAGATGCTATAACTTTCACACAAAGGAATCAATTTACACTTCTTTGGATTTTTTTAACCAAAAACATGTAGCAGAATACCTTTTGGCCTAAATTTGAGGAAATTTTACTTTTTTTGGATATTTTTTATGACCAAAATGAGAAAATATTTTTTTTCAAAAATGTTTTTCGTTTATAGCGCCAAAAATAAAAAGCGCACAGGTGATCAACTACCACCAAAAGAAAGCTCTATTTGTGTGAAAAAAGGATATAAATTTAATTTATGTACCATATTGCATGACCGCGCAATTGTCTGCTAAACTAGCGCAGCGCTGTATAGCAAAAAAAATGGCGTAAATTGCAATATCTATACCATAGTTTGTAGACGCTATAACTTTCACACAAAGCAATTAATATACACTTATTGGGATTTTTTTTTTTTTTTTAACAAAAACATGTAGCAGAATACATTTTGGCCTAAATTTATAACTAACTTTGAGTTTACTATATATTTTTATAGCCGAAAGTAAAACATATAATTGTTCTTCAAAATGTTTGGTTTTTTTTTGTTTATAGCACAAAAAAATAAAAAGCGCACAGATGATCAAATACCACCGAAAGATAGCTCTATTTATGTGACAAAAAAGGACGTAAATTTCGTTTGTGTATAGCATCGCATGACTGCGCAATTATCAGTTGAATTAGTGCAGTGCCGAGTAGCAAAAAGAGGCCTGGTCATTAAGGGGGGTAAATCCAATAGAGGGCAACTGGTTAAGCGGGCCGTGCTTTGCCTTGCATTACAATACGTATGGAGTCTGTTTTGAGCCTGTACAGGACTCTGCTACTGAGATGATATTGCCACCTTGTGTTTAATCAATACATTACTGGGTCTTCATCATACCTGGTGCAAAATACACCTCCGGAACGTGAGTATTTCTTATGTTTTATTGATGAATAAAAGTTTAAAAAGGATAAAGCACTATGTTGAGTTCTTTTTAATGAGGAATACGGCTGATACAGATGCTTATTAGGAGTGAGCTTACTTTGGAGTCTTCATTCAGCAAGCTGATCTCCTGAGTCCACATGGGACCAAAAGTGCAGTTAGACCGTAACATTGTATAACGTGAGGTCACACTGCGTGAGGTGAGCAGATATATGGTGGAGGATGTCTTTGCATGGGAATTGATGACAGATGCACTTGAGTTTGATTCATACTTAAAAATTATTTTTTATTTTTTCTGTGGTTTATATATATATATATTATATATATATATATATATATATATATATATATATATATATATTTTTATTTTTTTTTTTTTTTTATTTCAATATTGGTATTTTTTTCTACTATTTTATCTTCTAATATATTTTTATTTTTTCACTTAGTTTTTTGGTTATACAAGGATTGTGCCATTGTTTCATGTAGCGCAGCATTTTTTCACTTCACATTATGACTGTATAATTTTCCCCGCTGAGACATGGGTTGTGTGCACTAGCGGCTACAGTATTCAATTATAATTTTTTGTTTTCATTTCACCATAGTTAGCGCATGAGATATTCAATTTATTTTCAATTTATTTTAGCTCTTAAGAGTAGCCAGCCCGCTTTTCAAGGGACCAAAAGTAATTGGACAATTCAATCAAAAGCTGTTTCACGGTGTGGGCTACTCCTTTGTTATTTCTTCATCAATTAAGCAGCCAAAAGGTCTGGAGTTGATTCTAAGTGTACTATTTGCATTTGGAATCTATTGCATTCAAAGGAGCTGTCCATGCACGTGAAACAGGCCATTGTAAAGCTTCAAAAGCTAAACAAATCCATCAGAGAGATAGCACCAACATTAGGAGTGGACAAGTCAACAGTTTGGTACATTCTTAGGAAAGAAGAACGCACTGGTGAGCTCAGCAACATAAAAAAGGCATGGATGTCCACAGAAGACAACAGTAGTGGATGATCGCAGGATCCTCTTTATGGTAATGAAAAACCCATTCACAACATCCAGACAAGTGAAGGACACTCTCCAGGAGGTGGGCGCATCATTGTCAAAGTCTACAATCAAGAGAAGAAGACTTCACGAGAGCAAATACAGAGGGTTCACCAAAAGGTGCAAACCATTGATAAGCCTGAAGAATAGAAAAGCCAGATTATACTTTGCCAAAAACCATCTAAAAAAGCCAGACCAATTCTGGAAAAGCATTCTTTGGACGGGTGAAACTAAGATTCTGTACCAGAATGACGGGAAGAAAAAAAAGTGTGGAGAAGGCTTGGAACAGCTAATGTTCCAAAGCACACAGCATCATCTGTAAAACATGGTGGAGGCAGTGTGATGGCATGGGCATGCATGGCTTACAGTGGCACTAGGTCATTGGTGGAGCTTTTGAAGGAAAAGAAGTGGAATATTCTGCAATGGCCAAGTCAATCACCTGTTCTCAACTCAATTGAGCATGCATTTCACTTATTGAAGGCAAAACTAAAGGCAGAAAGACCCGCAAACAAAGAACAACTAAAGACAGCTACAGTTAGAGCCAGGCAAAGCATCAGAAAGGAGGAAACCCAGTCTTTGGTAATGTCCATGGGTTCCAGACTCCAGGCAGTAATTGCCAGTAAAGGATTCTCAACAAAATATTAAAAATGAACATTGTATTTATGATTATATTCATTTGTTCAATTACATTTGAGCCCCTGAAAATGGAGGGACTGTGTATAAAAATGGTTGCAGTTCCTACAATTTGTAAGTGATATTTATGTTCGACCCCTTGAATTAAAGCTGAAAGTCTGCGCTTCAAATTCATTTGGATTGTTTCATTTTAATTTATTCTGGTGGCATACAGAGCCAAAAGTATGAAAATTGTTCCTATGTCCAAATATATATGAACCTAACTGTATAGACTGATTTTACTGTTGTGGGTGTGGTAACACTTTAACAAGCTGGTGATTGGATGCTAGGACCACCCAGCATCCTACCAACCAATCACCTGCTTGCAGCCTTTGCCCTCTGTCCAGACCTGCCACCTCAACTGTCCTATGCCCTGCTGCGAGGGTGATAGGGTTCCAGGTCTAGCAAAGAAGCAGGAGAGGGATGTACGGCAGCCAGGACAGAAAGAAATAGCGACCCAGCTCCTAAACAGTGGGACCGTGGCAACCTGGATTGGATTGTCACTCAGTCCGGATACAGACCATGGTCCGCCATTTAGTGATGCCTCCTGATGGTGATATATTTAAAGTCTTTGCTATTTTACATTGAAGAACATTCTGAAATTGTTCCACAATTTTTAGATGGAGCGTTTCACAGATTGGTAAACCTCTGCCCATCTTCAGTTTTGAGACACTCTTTAAGATGCCCTTTTTATACCCAATCATGTTACTGACCTGTTGCCAATTAACCAAATTAGTTTCAAAATGTTTTTTCTGCTCTTCCATGTTCGTACCAATTACCATGCCAGCTTTTTGTTGCACTGTCCCAACATTTTTGAGAAGTGTTGCTGCCATCAATTTAAAAAATGAACATATTTTTTGCTTAAAACCATACATTTTCTTAGTTTAAACATTTGGTATATTTTTCTATTGTCTACTGTGAATAAAATATGGGTTTGTGAAATTTGCAATTCATTGTTTTTATGTAGATTTTACACAGAGTGCCAAGTTTTTCGGAATTGGGGTTATAACTTGTCCCAGTTTTATAAACAATGCAGTAGTCACTAGATCTCAGGTGCCAAAAGTCACCTAATTAACATTTGCTGCCAAACCAGTTCCCTCTGCAAAGAAAATAAATGATGTAACCAAAAGGTTTCTGCAACATAATCCATATAACTACCTTTAGCTTGGAAAGAACCAAGATTGTCAAGATCAGCAAATGGGTCAAAACTTGAGGACTTCGCCTGATTAAAGGATGAACTTGAAGATGTACTCATTTGACTGGCTGGCGTAAAGACAGGACCTATATATACAAAAACCAAAAAAAAACTTTGGTCAAAACTTTGAGGGGAGATCAATAAAACAAACAGTACATTTGAATATTTGATGCAAATTTGAAACATATTAAAAAAGGCATTTTATTGTGCTGCTTAGTACAGAAAAGTGTTGAGCCTACCAATAAATCATTAAATCATTGATCTCCTAAATTCCTATAATAAGCTGAAATCACGCCTCTGAAGTTCGAAGCATTGTTATTGGTTTTGCCCAGTTCACCTCTAATAGACTAAAGAACACCTCTTCTTATGTTATGCAGATTGGGGGGGGGGGGGGGCATTGTTCAGAGGAGAACTCAGGTGGAGCTAAGAATGCTGCTTGGTATTTCAATACAGCAGAGGCAAAGTTGTTAGATCACTACAGAAAGTCAGGAGTGGATTCCTGGCAGGATCAATGGGTATTTCTTTTTTTTTCATTGTGTTTTTTTTTTTACAAGGCAAAAACATAAAATGTGCATGCCTTGCAAGGATATACTGAATATATTTTTGTTAATGTGTCCAAACTTATATTTTAAGCTCTAATACACAGTAGACCTAGTGTAGGATATAAAGTGCACCTTCAAATGCTGGTTTACTAAGTTTTGGAAGAAAGAGATTGTTGGTTTTAGAAGGCTCTTCCCATGAATTCCATCCTCCCAGAAGATCTGGGTTGCTTGCAGATGAAACTATTTTTAGCGGAGGTGTTGGTAAATGATCTATAACAGAAAAAAAAAAAATGTTTGCACCACAGAAATTTAAATAATTGCAAAATGGGGTGACTAACTATGTGCCTGGGAAACTTCCAAAATCTAACAGCCAGTACTAAAAATGTAAGAGCAACAATGCAACTCTCATCCTTCACAGTGTTCCTAAAACAGGTCTCACCTCCCTTTGCAGCAGAAATACTTATCAATAACCCACATTCCCAATAAACAGAAGGTATACAATGCTGTTTACGCCTCCCTTCTTGTACAGAAGCCTGCATTGTGTTTCAAGACAGATGCTGACTTCAAGCCACATGGTGCAGAATGCAGGTAAAACCGGGTCATACCTTAAGTCAATGCGCAATGGTCCCTCATTTGACAAGCAGGTATGAATGGGAGAGCTCATAGGCATCATGTCTTCAGGGGATTTTTATCAAGTATCATATATGATGGCTTAGATTTTTTTCAATAATATGGATCAATTCATTACATGTGTTTAGTGTACACTTCTAGCATTTTAAGTATATTGTTCGGAACGATAAAATAAAAAAAAAAAAACTATTTAGTAAACACCTGCTCATGTGTATCCATAATTACTGAAATAGAGCTTATAGAACCTTTGTTATTGGCCAGAACCTCAAAAAGAATTAAACACATTTTACCACACCAAACCTTATATGTACAGAGCTCATCGGACTAACGTTGGCCCTTTGAGTCTTACCTAGGTTTAAGAAGTCCACATTGGAGGTAGAGGTTGGAGCATTTTTTTCAGAAGGATATACATTAGGAGTGGAAGCAGAGTGTGGGCTCAAGAAACAATCAAATAGCTCAGGACCTCCTGACTTGTTTTCTGATGCATTTATGCCAAATGGGTCAAATGGATCTGTTATCAAAAACATAATAATGCATCTACATTTTATACAGAACCCAACAGAACATTAATGTAAAATTATTATTCAGAAACAGTTAACATGCCGAGTGAATAAAATTATTTCCTTTACATTTTGCTGCAAAGCTAGATTACTGCAAGAAATGGAAGTGCAGTTAATTTATACCACTCATGTAGCAGCAAGGCTGCAGGTAACTATTCCCCAAAACATGTTTAGTATTTAAGAAAGGACACAAAAGGCAACATGAAGGTTTTGAATGCTTTTAAAAGGAAGTTTTAATGATTTCAAGGCAAGTGTATTTTCATCAAGACAATGCTTTTTCTTTGCTTCACTTTCTGTTTTGTATTTTTTCACTGCACTGGGGTCTGATGCTTTTTACTGTGTTTCCAATACAATTCTGTGCAGGAAAAAAGCAGCATGCTGTCCTTTTTCCTGCACAGAATTGCAGGAACTAGTTTTACATTGAACTTACGCTCGTTGATGGGACACAGCTGTTCCGATTCTTGACCACAGGCACGTCCCAAAGCAGTGTCTCAAACAAACAGGGTTGGGAAAACCAAAAGCTAGGAATCCTAACCGCCTCCCTCTCACCATATAAGGAAATGACGGGCGCAAGGCGGTTCTCTCGCTCTGGGTGGACATCATCTTACCATTACTAAACCACAACTACAACACAATTTAGAGGAGGGCATACAATAATTGTACAATGACAAAGAATTGGTGGTGGTTCGGCCAGCAAATAAGGGCGGGGGGATCGTTGTTTTAGATAAAAATTCATACAATAAGGAAATGGGACAGGATTTTGGCAGATAAAGATATGTATACAACATTAACCACTTGCCCTCCTGAGGATTTACCCCCCTTAATGACCAGGCCTCTTTTTGCTACTCGGCGCTGCACTAATTCAATGATAATTGCACGGTCATGCAATGCTGCTTGCAAACGAAATTTACGTCTTTTTTTTTTCACACAAATAGAGCTTTCTTTCGGTGGTATTTGATCACCTGTGCGCTTTTTATTTTTCATACTATAAACAAAAAAAGACCAAACATTTTGAAGAAAAACGATATTTTTTACTTTCAGCTATAAAAAATATATAGTAAACTCAAAGTTAGGTATAAATTTAGGCCAAAACGTATTCTGCTACATGTTTTTGGCAAAAAAAAAATCCCAATAAGTGTATATTGATTGCTTTGTGTTAAAGTTATAGCGTCTACAAACTATGGTATAGATACTGCAATTTACGCCAATTTTTTGCTATACAGCGCTGTGCTAGTTTAAAGGACAATTGCACGGTCATGCAATATGGTACATAAATGAAATTTACATCCTTTTTTTTCCCAAAAATTGAGCTTTCGGTGGTATTTGATCGCCTGTGCGGTTTTTTTTTTTTTTTGCGCTATAAAAAAAAAAAAGGCTGACAATTTTGAGGGAAAAAAAAAAACAATATTTTGGACTTTTTGCTATAAAACATGTCCAGTAAAAAAAAAATTTTAAAATCAAATTTAGTCATAAATTTCTGCCAAAATGCATTCTGCGACATGTCTTTGCTACAAAAAACCCCAATACATGTAAATTAATTGGTTTACGTGAAAGTTATAGTGTTTACAAATGGCAGGAAAGATACAGGATTTTTAATTTTTTTTTATACTAATAATGGCGGCGATCAGTGACTTATGGCGGGACTGCAGCGGACATTCTGACACTGGGGGGGAACTGACTTGGGTCACTGACATCCCCAGTGACACCAATACGGTGATCAGTGCAAAAAAAAAAACATTGACACTGTACTAATGGCACTAGGGAGGAAGGGGTTAACTTTATTATTCAGTGAAAGGGTTAACTGTGTGAGGGGAGTGTTTTACTAGGGGGCGGGGGTGTGTACTGCAGGGAACACCGCTGATTGGGACAGATAAACTCTTCTGTCCCGATCAGCGTGTTAGGAGCTGTCAGGGAACTAACAGAAAGCACAGCTACTGTGCTCTCTGTCACTGATTGCCGCTAATCGCCGGGACACAGCCGGTAACTACCAGCTGTGATCCGGCGACTGACATCCGCGGCCGTGATCGGCAGGACAGGCAGGGCGGCGGCGCGCCCCCTACCGGTTTTAAAAAACACGTTTTAAAACGTGGTTTTGCACAGCCATGCCGCCCTGCACACCGTATTTCTACAGTGGCTGGGCAGCATGTGGTTAAAAAATAATCCAGTAAATAGCTATAAAAAGGAATTAGGTAAGATTGACAGGTTATGCACAGGGCATCCTAAATAAAAAGAAAAGGCCTATCTCATTCCATTGGCTCCCCGCACTCTAGTCATGTATTTGCCAAAAATTCATAAAGATACTAACAATCCTCCGAGATGCCCTGTAATCAGTGGAATAGATTCCATCACTTCGAGAATAGGCGAACACATTGACAATTTCTTACAACCTTTGGTGAAAAATATTCCTTCTTACCTTAAGGATATCAAACAGGTTATTAACTTGTTAAGCAAACAGAGACTTAATAGGGATGGATGGATGGATGGATGGTCACTGCTGATGTGGCGTCCCTCTATACGATTATACCACACAATTTGGGGCTGGAAGCAGTTGACCATTATCTGGCCAATGGATCAGATCTTCCCATGATGCCGAAATCGTTCATCATGGAACTCGTGAAATTTGCAGCTTCATATAACTATTTTTGGTTTGGCAATCAATATTATTTACAACAGAGAGGTGTTGCTATGGGAGCTAAGTATGCTCCTAGCCTGGTCAATTTGTTTATTGCCAGGTGGGAGGAGGACATCGTTGGTATTACACAGGCTTCACAACTCATTTTGTGGGCCAGGTAGATCGACGACATCCTCCTCCTGGGAGATGGCACTTTTGAGTCCCTACGAGCATTTATGACCTCTTTAAATCAGAATGATAGAGGCATTAGATTGGAGTATGAAACCAGTCAAATAGCTATTCATTTTCTGGATCTGAGGATTTCTAGATAAGGATTGATCACTTCCACTTTCTTCAAACCCACAGATCACAATGCCTACATCCCTACTGACAGCTGCCATTATGAGCCATGGTTAACATCAATTTCACGTAGCCAATTTTTAAGACTACAGAGAAATTGCACCAATATTGAGGATTTCCATACACAGGCATTGTTATTGAAGAACAGATTTCTAGAAAAAGGCTACGACATGGCTAGCCTCAATAGAGACCTAATTTCAGTTGAGCAGGTTGATAGGAGTGACCTTCTTTAGGAGGTATCAACTAGGAAAAAGAACATTGAACAAAATAGGCGTCCTTTCATAACTTCTTTTTCTGTTTAGCATCACTCTATCAAAAAAAAAAAAAAAATCACACACAAATACTGGCATATTTTGCATAACAATGGTGTTTTGGACCTAGACCTAGAATTATATATAAAGGGGTTCCATCATTGCGTAATAGAATCGCTCCAAACATGTACGACCCTCCTAGCCGTTCTACCTTTTTTCAAAATCTCAAAGGATATTTTTAGATGCAAAAGTACACCATTTGTCAGATCAATAACTGTTCACGTAGGGGCATATTGTCTTTTAGGTCAACGGCCACCTCTAGAGAACATGACATTCTGCCCCTTGTCACGTTCTTCCTCTAATGTGGTTTACCTCCTTCAATGCCCGTGTGGCCTCCAGTATATTAGAAGAACCACTCGTACTTTGTAAATCAGAATGAAGGAGTACGTAGGGAACAAACGATGATTTAAGGGACATAGTGTCTCTCAACAGTATGCTACATTTCATAAGGATCCCGCAGCAACAATATTTTTGAGAATTGACAAATGAATTCCACATTGGCGTGGTGGCGCCATTAGGAGGGAAATCTCTAGATTAGAAACTAAATGGATATATAACGTTACATTTATGAACTCCATGGTATGAACAGGATTGGGACATCAATGCCTTTATTAACAATGCCTGCTGGACCTATCCAATTATTTTAGTGGTTCTGTCTGTGTCTCCATGTGGTTGTTCGTATATACCAATTTAATTTTAGATATCTTGATTAGATATGAGGATAGGACATACATTATAATAATCTAACATGTTATTCATTATTTTATATTATATATTAATTTTTAAATATCTTATTAATATTGTGTTTGATGGAGTTATTCATATGATAGAACCTATTTTTGACTATCTTGATTGGATAGGTCTCTCGATGTATTTAATATCTGAGAGTGGAAATTGTATATTCTACTGATTGCCATGTATATTAATTTATGCACACTAGATGGCAGTGTGGATGTGCACTCTTTTTATATATATTTTGTTGATTTGGAGCAGTAACCTCTAAACCTGATCTGGATAATTAGATTCATTATACATAATTATATATTATCTACAAATTTCATTATCATATGCGATTTGGCCATACCATGTGGATTTAGTCATTACATATGTGTTTGGCCACTATTTATGTCACTTTTGATCCTTATATTGAGGCTTGGTTTTCACACTGGATTCTTCTGGTATCACATATTGATGGATAGGATTGTCAAACTGATGCTTGGATTAACTTCCTATACTGACCTTGCAGCTCTGTATGTCCTTATGCGAGTCTGGCCACTTTTTATAGATTTGGCTATTATGAACAGCTCTTTAAATTCCAGGTTGCGGCTAGGTTTGCAGGCTGGTTCTTTTTTGTACTGTTTAAACAATGGATGGAATTGTGAATTTGAGGCTTGGGTTCACTTCCTATGTTATCCACTACCAGTGATCAGTTTGTGCTGGTTGTCCTCCAAATCGACGCTTGGATATTCCTTATTTAAGCACGGTGGCAGAGGGAGGCTATGTAGCCCCTAGAGGACGTCTTTTGATGACGAAACCCCCCCGGGAGGAGCCTCCCTCTGACATCATTGCGCTGTCGGCCATCTTTGAAATGCATTATGTGAATGCTTTTAATTGTTCTACAGCATGTAAGTAGGATTCCATTTGCACAAATAAAGAAGTTTTTGATACGTATTGCACTATGAGAGGCATGTTTTTGCTTTCATGATCTTGTTTGGCACTACACTTCAAGTTCACATTCAAGTTGGAGGTTGGGAAGATCCATGTTCTGGGCATGACACGGAAAGCCTACTAGTGCACTGCATTATAATGCTGGTTGGGATCCCCTGTAATTAAAGGGTCTCCATTTCTGGTAAGCCTCCATTCGAATATTTGGTAGTGGTATGCACTTTAGTGACCATTTGAAGCAAGTTTATCCACATTTGCACCTAGAGGATTGTCTACAGTATTATCGATTGTGGAGTTTTTTTTTCTATATATGGACTATATTACATGTCTATATGGACAATTAGCTATTGTTTTGACACTTTTTCATAAGCCTTTTATTTGTATCTGTGGTGAATATATTTTGTGTAACAACAATTAACTTACTTTCAGCCTCAAATCACTCTTCAGAGGTATGAGGGTTTTCATAAGGCATATGAATGAAATTCCTTGTTAATTTGACCATACATCACTGTTTTCCATGCACACTCAAGATTAGTGTATTCACATTGATTTTTTTAAAAGTTTGATCGCCTTTCAGAGGTGTGAGGGTCTTCATAGTGCTTTTGTACATCATATAACGGCTCACCTAGTGCAGTATCCTTTCGAATTTAGCCCTTTAAGAGAGGATACCCTCTTTAATACTTGCAGCTGTGTGATATTAGTTGATCAGGGATTTGGCGGTTTAATCCTATACACAATGCTTTTTCTTTGCTTCCCTTGCCTGTTTTTTATTTTGTTTACTGCACTGAGGTCTGATGGTTTTTACTGTGTTCCAGTACAATTCTGTGCAGGAAAAAAGCAGCATGCGGTGAACTTATGCTCATTGATGGGACACAGCTGTTCTGCTTCTTGATCACAGGCACATCCCAAAGCAGTGTCTCAGGGTTGGGAAAACCAAAAGCAAGGTATCCTAACCGCATCCCGCTCACCATATAAGGAAACGACAGGTGCAAGGCAGTTCTCTCGCTCTGGGTGGACGTCATATGACGTCCTCCCACTGTAACCGCACGTGCGCACCCCCGGGGGGCACACAGCACGGCGATCGGTGGTGCGCTGTGTCCCTGGAACACAGCGGATCACCGATCAACGGAAAGAGCCGAAGACGTTGGCTCTGTCATGTGATCAGCTGTGTCCAATCACAGCTGCTTGCATATAAATAAGGAAATGCCAGTTATTGACATTTGTCTCCTCACGAGCTGTCACGCTGACAGCTCGTTAGGAGAGCCGGTAATCGGCATTACTCAGAGGGGACATGTACACTGATCATCAGGGCACTGATGATCAGTGTGCCCCGATGACCAGTGTAGCCCCATCAGTATCACCTGTCAGTGCCCATCAATGCTACATAGTTAGTCTGGCTGAAAAAAGACAAAAGTCCATCCAGTTCAACCATAGAAAAAAAAAAAAAAAAAAAAAAGTTATAATCCTATACCCACAGTTGATCCAGAGGAAGGCAAAAAAAACCCAGTAAAGCATGATCCAATTTGCTCCTGCTGGGAAAAAACTTGCTTCCTTATCCTTCAAGTATGCAAAATCAAAGATCCCTGGATCAACCTTACCTATAAATGTTAGTATCCAGTTATATTCTGCGTATCTAAGAAACAATCCAGGTTCGTGTGTAGGGACCACTCCCCCTGACCCATTGTCTGCCGACTGAGGTAATCTGCCTGCCAATTCTTAATGCCTGGGACATGCGCGGCAAAAATGCGAGAACATGCTGCAAAAAATAAGTAATGCCTCCAGCTGCTGCACTGCTCGTTCTAGCTTGGTGGTTGACTTAAGCCACTGCTGTGTAATTGTCTAATTGACTCCTGACCGAGAGCCTGACAGCCCCGATAGCCTGACCACCTGCAGGCCCAGGCTGCTGATGGGTAGCCAAAGATCCTCCAGAGCCCAGCGATCTAGTGCCAGTCTCAAACCCAGGACAACTCCCTAGCTGGACAGGCTGGCACCCATCGTGACTACCATTCAGTGGATGCAGGATCCTTAAAGGAGGGAAACTCCTCCACCTGTATCACAGCAGCTTTACTCAACCTCAAAATGGGGGGGATCCAGCACAGAGGCAAGGTCCACTTCCTCAGAAGGGCTTCCTGAAAGGGCTAGCGTACTGCAAAGTGCTTTGGAACCACAAAAAGGATGCTTCGGGCATTCCCATTCTTTTTAAATAAACTTATCAAAATACACGAGTTAAGGAAAAAAAAATGGACCTAGCCGGCTTGTGTGTACCAAAAGGGGCAGGCGCGTCGTCAGCTACCCCAGCAGAGTCCCCATTTTTAAACATCTTACTTACAAAGTAATTATTGCAGTCACAAGCACTTCCTCTTTTGCAATTAGAGGCAGAAGACGCTACCTTACTATCCGATGACTCAGGGCAGACATCTTCAGGGCCCGCATAGAATGCAGAGTCTGCAGCGGCAGAGCCACACTAGGGCTCAAAAATGTTCGAAGATGCAGGTGATGTCACGGAGCACGTCCTGCTCACCTTGCACTCGAACACTGCCTCCACCAAGAAGATGAACATCTCCAGGACTGTTGAGAGCACGTCCAGAGGGACAGAGAACCCTGAGGAACCAGCTGCCTCCCTAAGGGGATCAGGAGGGGACATGTGTGCCTAAGACTCCATATGGCCAACCAACTCAGGCAAGGCACTGCCAAAATTTAGGACACCCAAGGGGAAGGGGGGGGAGAACAAATGCCTCCCCCCCCCCCCCCCCAGGGTAAACTACAGCACAATGGGAGGTACCCCAGGGAGGACTTCCCACCACACCAAATCACCAGTGGAGCACTGTGGGTGCCGACATGGATGTCGCCTGTGGATACTGCTGTGCGGACCGTGCCTCAGAAAGTACACCCTCCTACAGCCTGGCAACCAAAAACGTGGCCACCATGCACTTACCTAGCCAGCTCTCAGACGTCAATGGGGATCACTGGCAAGATGGCCACCTTCACGTGGCTACAAGAAAATGCCATGCATTTCAGTCAGCTCCCATACAAGTCAATGGGAAAGTCCAACATAAAATGGCCATTCTTCCTGTCCACTAATATAGCTGCCGGAACACCAAGTAAATGGCCACCGGCTACAGTAAAGGACATGGCAGCTGCAATGCAGCCTCCTGGACCCCTATAGGGGACACCTACCATGAAGAACCCGCAAAGACCATTTAGAAGGCCCACTTCCCAGCCAGGGGTGCCAGAAAAAGTAGGCCCAAGCACCAGGGACTGGGTTGTAGGAGGAAGAGAGGGAGCCTGCCAGGTGGGACAAGAGGAAATACCAGAAGCCAGGGGGAGTAGGGAACCCCTGCAGGACCAACCACTCCAGGGGAGCACTCACTTCACACACCCCGTCTGGGGAGGGAAAGGAGGGAACATTTATTTACCGATCCAGCGGAGCATGCAGATAAGGCTCCCATGACAGATCCACCTCTCCACCGAATGGGGGGGGATGTCAGCCAGTGTAACACTGACTCCAGCACCCAGTCATAGGTTTCCCCACAAAATATTTAACTGGCTGGCCGCCCCGGACCAGAATGGGGCTATTGCAGCTGACCCACTGCGTGCGCCCGCTGGCCAGACTGGGGAGACCACTGGATCTAGATTATCTAGCTTATCACCCAGCCTGGCTGTTGATTGAAAATCTCTGCAGGAAAAAATCCCAGGAAAAAAGGAGAAAAAAGGAAAAAAAAAAAAGCTATGGAACTACAGGTTCCAGCAGGGAACTCCTGAAAAAGAAATAACTGGCTTGCCTATAGCAGAGAGGGGTTTTACACCAGCTAGGACTGCCCATAGGTGGTGGTGTGTTCTTTTTCTGCCCAGTGTCCTACTCATGTAGGTGGCGATAAAAACCCTATGGTCAAGAATCAGAAGAGCTGCGAAAAGTGCATTTTCAAATCACCTAGATTTTCCTGCTGTATCCATCTACAGCAGTTACATCTCACCTTACTGTCATTTCTAATGCTGGCCATACATTATGAAAATTCCATTCAGTGGGTGGCCCTGTCAGCTACCTCCCCGCACAAACCCTGGATTGAACAACCAAAGAAGCCAAAAACCCAGCTGCACCCAGAAAAGGCCAAAACCTGGCTGCATTCAGTCAGGTGCAGCCACGGTTTAGGTATTTTGCCAGGTAGCAGGCAAGGCTGTCAAAATACAATAGTCACAGTGGAAAATTCATCAATCCATGCTGTATATAGGAAGGCTGAAGGAAAAAGAGCTAATATTTCAGGTAATACATATGTTTATAAATGGTGCATTATCTAACTAGTTTCAGTACTCTGTAATAATAAAGTCACAAATAAATGCAAACTCTTGCATGCAAGATCTTACAGATACCAGTATAAAATAACAATCTAGTTATGTATTCAGAAAAAAATATCACACACACACACACACTATACACGTCTAGTATAAACACCTGAATCTATTTTTACATTACCTTTTGCAGGTAACTTTAAGTAACTTGAAGTGGGAGGGTCAGTACTCAACTACTTTGGAGTACTCTCAGGTATACACTATAAAGATGCTTGCAGGAAGAGAATGCATGGGGTTCAACTCATCACTGTGCTGCTGCTCTTTCATTGAGCAATCAGTAGGTCAGGAAAGGAGAAGACTAAGGAAGGACCAGAATTTCAGAAGCTGTTCTTATATACAGATAACTACTATGACCAGGATTTAAAGGGAGGGTTGTTAAAAATTAAAGTGTATGGAATTTTATATAAATGATCCACATGCATATCTAAAAGAACACACTGAAAAGACTACAAATATACTGCTGCATACCGGAAGCAGAATTTGAGGCGTTGAATAAGGAACCAGACTCTGCTGAGGTTTCTTTGCTGAAGAAATAGTCCTCTCCAGATCCTAGTAAGTTATCAGTCTGGATGTCGACTTTTAAATCCTCCTTGAACAAATTGTCAGAGAAGAGATTGTCTAGTAAAGCTGCATTGCTAGATGAACCCTTAATTTCTCCAGGTATAGTACTGGTTTCTGCAGTTACAGGAGCTGAATGAAGGCCTAACAAATCTGCTTCGTCTTCTTCTTCTTTTGGCTCTGGCAGCTGTGTATTACTGTCAGCTTCAAACATATCTGTAGTGTTTACTTCATCTGCTACATTGTCTAATCCTCGTTCTTCACTTTCCAATGCACTGTGCACTTGGGAAAAGTCATAGAACTCCTCATCAGAAGGTTCACTTTTGTTATCACTTGTGCCTTCTTCAATCTCCTCTTTAGAAGAATACTCCTGGGCCTCAATGTGAACATCTTGTCCTTCCATTTGATCTAAAACAACAATCCAAAAAAGGTTTGTGTAAGACTTACAGCAAAGTATACAAATGTAGTGCTCCAATTATAAAATTCCAGCAGTTCATTGTATTCAAATCTTTGAAAATGATACTGCGTGTGTTGGGGTTAAGCTCTCTGGATAAGTATAAATGCCCTGTAGAGCAGAGTTGAATTACTACAATTATTAAATTAACTACTTCCCAGCAGAGATATAAAAGGTCACCTCACAGCTTATCTTCTATAAAGAATACCAAGGTTTACATGCATAACCTCTTGCCCTCTGGAAGATTTCCCCCCTTAATGACCAGGCCTTTTTTTTTTCTTTTCGGCACTGTGCTATTTCAACTGGTAATTGCGTGGTCATGCAACACTGTACCCAAAATGAAATTAGTCTGTTTTTTCAAAGATTTTTTTTGGTGGTATTTGATCACCACTGGGTTTTTTATTTTTTGTGGTATAAAAAAAAAAAAGAAAAAAAAAAAGAAAGGACAGAAAAAGTTGAACCCCCCCCACCCGATATTTTCTACTTTTGATTATAAAAATATCCAGTAAATTCAAAGTTAGCCATAAATTTAGGCCAAAATGTATTCTGCTACATGTATTTGGTTTAAAATTAAAAAAAAAAATCCCAGTAGGTGTAGATCAATTTGTTTGTGTAAACGTTATAGCGTCTACAAGCTATGGTATATATATTGGAATTTACACAGCTTTTACTTTCTGATTGATCACATTTCTTGAGGTGCTGAAACGCCAGGGCAGTGAACTCCCCCCAAATGACCCCTTTTTGGAAAATGATAATTTTTTTTTTTTTTTTACTCAAAGTTGTCACTTACATGATATATTGCTCATGCATGCCATGGATAAACGTGGAATAACAATCCAAAACACATTCTGCTACTTCTTCTGAGTATGGGGATACCACATGTATTGTTGTGCGTATAAATTGCTTTGGCCCACAATCAATTCATACAAATCTTTCATGAAAAACAACGGAGATGCGAAACGCAAGTCCTGCCAGCGAATGAGGCTGATCCTGCTAACACTGCATTTTTGGGAACACATACAAGGGATCCACTAGTATAGTTTGATTCGTGATCAATATATTGATCCGTACAAACACTATACTAGTAATGGCGAAGATCAGCAACCTACGGCGTGAGTGCGATACTGTGAGGGCAATCTAATGCTAGCTGACCCTGGCTGGGAGGGGAGCTTACTGACCCGGACGCTATCTGATGTCGCTAGTGGCAGTACTAGTGATCAGTGAAAGATTCTATATACTGACACTGTGCTAATGGCACTGGCTGGGTGACAGCGCGAACAAAGGGTTAAATGTGCTAATCCGACGTGTGTAAAATGTACTGCTTTTACTCAGTGCAGTGTTCTCTCTTCTGTCCCTGAACCGGCACAGGGGGCAGCGGTGGGGGGGGGGGGGGGCATGGGAGTGGGTATGCATACGCACTCCCAGAAATAGAAAGAGATGTAAGGGTACATTGCTTTGCCCAGAGCCGCTGCTCACGCACACATTGTGGACGGGCAAGTGGCAAGTAGCTAAACAAAAAAAATTTCTCTTAATATTGTTTTTTTTTACGATTTAGCAAAAAAAAAAAACAAAAAGAAAAAAACTTTCAGAGTAGTACAATGTTACCATAGTAACATTGTACTATGGGGGGTAATCAAGGATTTTTTTTTTTCACAGTTTGCATTGCAGGAGCAATAAAGATTATTGCACCTGCAATGCAATGTTTGCTTTGAACTGTCATGGGTTAAGTTCATTACAGCTCAAAATACAGTGATCTGTGATTGGCTCCATACACCCAATACAACTGAAGGTTGGCAACACAGCAAGCAATGCTAACAGGCCCAGAGCAAGGGAATCAGGCTCCAAACTCAGAGAGAAGCTTGAAGCACCTTATGGCTGAAACTGGTGTCGACACAGGCCTGAACAACCATCCGGTAAAACTTCACAGATGCGCGAACAGAAGACCAGGTGGCGGTCTTGCAAAACTGAGAAACAGATGCCTAGTATTGAAAAGCCCAACAGACACCAACTGAACAAATAGAGTGGGCTTTAGCAGGAAAAGGAGGATTCCTATCCTTCAAGGCATAAGTCTTAATGATGACCCACCTAATCCACTAGGGTTGGTGGAACAAGATGCAGGATAGCCCCTTCAAGAGTCTGCAGGCAAGAGAAGCAGAGAATCTAAAGTTCGTATGACAGTGGCCAAAAGGTATATTTGTATTGTGCATACCACATTTACAATACAGAGAGACCTCTCTGGGTTGCTTTGGAGCAGGACAAGAGAATGCAGGACTATGACCTGGTTAAGGTGGAAGGATAAAACCATTTTAGTAAAAAGGAATAATGAGGAGTCCCTGATCTCTCCAGACCAGGGGCGGACTGACTATTCGAGCACTCTGGCACTGCCCGAGGTCAGTAGGGGGCCCCATGAAATGCCCCTGGTACCTTTTTTATAGGCTTTTTTAAGTGTGGGCAAGGACACAGGGGCCCCATGATCCCCTATTGCCTGGGGGCCCCATGAGTTGTCAGTCCGCCCCTGCAACAGACTTGGATTTCAATAGGCAAGCTGTCAATGCCAGCAACAGTGAAGCAGAATGGTAGACTGGTGCTCAAGACAGTAGGACTGGAGGAATGTCTGTTATCTCGATCCTGGGAAGCAGTCAAGGAAGAATTCTTAGTGAACGGAAGGCATATATCAGCCAGAACAGATTGCAGGGGGTCACCAGTGCATCCACTGCAGAAACCTTTGGATTACTTATCCTGGCCATAAACCTGTCCACCTTGTTGTCCAAAGAGGATGCCAGCCCAACAAGCTGGAAACATTTGAGAGAACCATCCAGGTTAACAGGAGAAAGAACTTCCCTGATTCCAATCACCATAGTGGAACATAGGCCCTCTGGCCACTCCAGAGACTCCAGAGCTTGTCCCATGCAGTCACTACACAGAGCTGCACAGGCTTGGAGTGTAAATGGGTGATAAACACCCAGAATGAGGCAACCATGAGGCTTTTGTACCCTCATGAAGAATTGGACCACTGGAAGCTTTTTGGAGCGCAGGGTTCACATATGAGCTCGGAGGCTCATCACTCATTTTCGGGTTAGAAACACATAAGTTTGGGCCGTGCCCAGGGGTTGGATCCAATGCAGACTTCTGTAGGCTTAGAATCACTGTCTGTATTGTTTGCTGCACTTTGGCAACTATGACCATGGTGGAGTGATTCTTCAAGAGAATGCTGTCCAGATATTTGATAAAGTGGATTCCCAAGAGCACAGCAGCTAGTTAAAAAGGAACTGGGAGTACCTGAGGAGATAAGGGGATATTCTGAGGTGTGGAGACTAAGGTCCTAAACCTGAAGTGCAGAGTTTCGAGAGGAACCCTGAATAACCTCATCATGGTCCAGTGCAGTGTGAGCTGGCCTGCCCCTCACACCATATTCCTTCTGTATGATGTCCACCATGAGGGTGAGGGGATCCCCTGAAATATTCTCAACCTTACCATCAGTGTAGAGACTGTTGGTGTGGGGCGGAAGGCGTGGGGACACCCCGCTACAACAGGACATACCCTTTGCCCATGAAAGGGTCCTCTGGGCCAAAACTACTGGGATTCAGATTGCCAAATCACTGGAACTGTACAGCAGTCTGTAGCTAACTGCACATGCTGAACAGCTACACTGAGAATGTGTGAGTACTGTTCATTGAAGCACTGCCAAGGACCGACTCATCGGGAAGCTGCAATAGCTGACTGTACCAAGTAATGTCCATGTAGCATTTCTGAACCTTATTTTTCAGGCATGGCACCTTTTGAAAGTATGCTAAAACTCCAGATGCCCCATCTAAAATGGGATTCGCCCTTCACAGCAGAGTCCTTGGTTCCACCTCCCCCTTTCATATGGGAGTTCTCAGTAAACTCCCCCAGTCCCTTTCAAATGGGAGTCCTACTTGCCATTCTTCAACACAGTACAGCAAGGGCAGCAGAACAATGGGAAGAAGGCAGAGTAGGTCTTCGGCTCCGTTCACACCTATGCAGTTTGCTTTTTGTTCGTTTTGCAGTGCTTTTTGCAGTTTATTTTTTACATGTTTTTACCACATTTTCTTAAGCTTTTTTTTTTTTAAAGTGGAATTTTTTTTTTTTGCTGGGCAGAAAAAAAATTCAAAATGCGGCAAAAACACACTATCATGCATTTCAACAGATTCTCCATTGAAATCTATTGTAGCAAAAATGGTGCTGTTTGCTTTAAAAAAAAAATCCCTGACCCTTTCCAAAAACGCAGCAGCTCAAAAAAGCATAGATGTGAACATGTTCCATAGGAAACCATGTTAAATGGACTGTAGTGCGTTTCTGCAAAAAAAAAAGCACTAAAAAAAAAAAGCATTGGTGTGAAGGAGGCAGATATCTGTTCCATTTCTAAATGCTGGGGCTGCCTTAAATTAGCATCATTTGTGCCCATGGAGCTGGCAGCCAGCCATGAAAACACAACACTATGCGAATATACAGGATGTAGCATGGCACCTCTGACATACCCAGATAGCACCCAGGTTGAGAAATGATGGTCTAGTAAACAGCATGGTGGTGCTTCACATGTTGACCATAGCCAGGTATTCCTATTAGCTTTAGCAATAGCAAAGGATTAATATTACACAAGATTTATTTAGTGTAGTTTTTGCAGCACTTTACAATACTAAGACCATGCATTTAAAGACATCTGTTGCTTTGCCTACATTGCACAAGAGAAAATTCAAGTGTATATAAATACTAACACATTTCTCTTACCTGTTCCCCTTTTTTTATTTTTAAATATCTGAAAATAATGGGAAGGCTGAAGCTTTCACATTAACATAGGCAGCTTTGTGGACTATAGACATGCACATAGGCAGCTTTGTGGATTATAGGCACTCACAGGATCTAAAAAGGTAGGTTGTTAAAATGGTTGTAAACCCCCCAAAAAAAATCAAAATTGAATTGACCAGTCTACCTCACACAGCATAACAGCAGAAGTCATTTGTCCATAGTCTGGCCAAGAAAGGAGCAGCCAGTCATCTGAAATTCTCTCTGCTTTCCTATGGTAAAAAAACCCCAACACATGAAAAAAAAAAAAAAAATGTGTCTCCACATCCCTCTCCTGTGACTGACAGACTAATTAGGGGTCTGATGCATGAGAGAAGGGGGCCATCCACACAGATCACTACCAAAATAGCCTAGCTCAGGAGTTACTCAGCAGACAGACCCTGCAGACACTGTGCTTATCTCTACTAACAGAAGAGGAGGGGAGATACATGCTTTCACAGGTCATCATTATCAACTGAGAGAGGGGGGGAGGGCAACCGGCCTCACACAGATTTAACCCCACAGCTGCCAGGGAGAAAGCCGAGGAGGATCACAATTAACCCCTCAATGACACTAGCCACTTGTACTGTGTAACTATCGGGCGTTACTTGAAAGTAGGGCACTTCAGTAAAAGTGCCCAACCATTGAGGAGTTAATTGTGATCCTCCTGCTCGGCTTTCTCGTGAGCAGCTGTGGGGTTAAATCTGTGTGAGGTTGTTTGGCTCCCATTAGTTGATAATGATGAGCTGTGAAAGCATGTATCCCCCTCCTCCTCCCTTAGTAGAGAAAAGCACATAATACTGGCAGGGTTCCGCTCAGTAATTCCTGATAGTTACACAGCTCACTCCAGCCCATGAAAGCCTGCAGTCTCTGATGCCTCAAATGCCCTATGTTTATGGGGATAATTTTTCTCAGTCTCCTCAGGCTGGAGCTGACTCCTAATTAGTCTGTTAGTCACAGGAGATAGATTGTGGCAAAACAAATTTGTTGTTGTTTTCACTGTAGGAAAGCAGAGAGGATTTCAGATGAAAAGCTCCTTTGATAGCCAGACTAAGGACAGGTGACTTCTGCTGCTATGCTGTGTGAAGTAGACTGGTCATTTCAATTTAGATTGTTTGGGTTTACATCCACTTTAAATTACACAAAATGCAATAAGGACTTTGTCTAAGACAATGCAATAAGGCAAACGAGCACTGCACAAATATTGCATTCTCCCCATTCCCTTCTTTCCTTCCTTTTCTTTTCAGTTTTACCATTAGTCTTCCTTACCCTATTTCTACCTACTGCCCATATTTGGATAGTTCCTAATTAATACAAACATAACTGCTCCAAAACAACATGCTTCATATATTAATTTCCTGAAAAAAAAAAAAAAAATTCAAACAATTCTATAACATTTTTTGCGATCGTTACCTTGCCAGTCAAGTGTTTGAAAGAAGTTACTCTTTAGCACATCAGAGTTTGGTTGCTCTGGAGAATGTTCTGCTGAGCACGTGTCTGCTTCATACTGTGCAGTTGATCCTGGCTGTCTGGGTAGTTCAGGTTTTCCTAAAAGAGCAAGATGTATTGTTTACAATATCTAATCTTTATTCAGTGCCTGCTTCTTCTTTTTCACATGCAGAAACAGTATTAAAAATGAGTTATCCAATTCCTCAACTTGTCAAAGAAAACAAACTAGCAATTTTAATTCTCAACATAAAGGGGAAGAATTAGAACCCAGTCAGGTTTTTATAGTTATTGGTGTCTCTGCTGATTCATCCACTCTTATTTGTTCTGTCATCAAGATGGAAAGGATAGAAAATCCAAAATTTTACAGCTGTCAACATAACAGGAGATGATTACTATTAACCTGATAACTGTTTAAGAGGAATTCCACTCACTTTTCTCCCACTTCCAGTTGCATATCTGAGCAAGTGAGTGAGGGAAATCTAACAGGACACAGACAGCAAAAAATAAATTGACAGGGGTTTAACCCTTTCCTACTCATCTAAAGCTATATAGAAGGTTTAGCTATACATAAAATGTAAGCAATTTTCCGCAACAGACAAGTCACAAAGAGAAAGCAGAGTTCAGGAAGGTTATATGTTTCCGAACAATAAAATAAAAGGTTTTAAAGAATCCTCTATTCCAATGCCCATTTACCAAATTTTGACAGAATCTCTTGTTGCTCTTCCCGGCTTGAAAACAGTATTTTAGGAGTCAATCGCTTGGTGTTGAGGTTTTCCCATGGTGGAGTGACACTTGCAGCTCTGTCTCTAGAAGACACTTCAACTTCCAGATTTACTTGAAATAAGTCTGGGTACTTTTCTTGTATGTCACAGGCATCCAGATCATACCTACAGTAAAATCCAAAATGAAATAAAAGAAGTAATTGTCAAACAGAAGAAATACACTTAAGAAATACTTTGAAACAACAAACTGTTGTAAGGCAGAATAAATATATCCCGATACCTAAAATAAAAATGAAACCAAAATGAGACATGTCACATCCCAGATAGAAATGTAAGATACCAGTCTTCTGCCTTGTCTTCCTACTGTTCTTTATCCAGTTAGTAATAACATTTAAAATATGGCAAAGTAAGAGTAGAATAAATAAAAAACAACAGATTCCAACTGTTACTGGTACACTGGAGAAAAAAAACAGGAAGTAAAAAATGTTCGGGAAGTGCAAGGTCAGCAAGTACACGGAAAAAGTTAAAGTAGGAAATATTTAAACAGCAAGATTAATGATCATATGACTCCAAAAAACTTTTTGCCAGGTTCTTGAATAATATATACAGTTCAAAGTGTAAAAAAAATTATGTGGGCACGTTTAGAGAAGGCTTTGTTAGTGCCTGCATTGACGAGGCAGGTGACAGTGCTTAAGGAACATAACTGCGTTTGGGAACTGTAAGTGATTCATGAAAGACTGAATACAAAACATAAGTGTGGTACTCAGTTCTATAACCCCGTAATGCATTTAAACATATCTACATACTTTGCAAACTTCACAGTAGTGGCATTTCTTGGAACAAAGCCTGTGTGAAACTGAATCTGGAACATCTTCATTGAAGTCATCTGGAACATAAACATTTTCAATACATAAGAGTTAAATCATTATACAAACACACATAATAAAAGCAATGTGAGAGATTATTGCATACAAGGAAGCTGAAATGTAAAATACAATACTCAAATTTGGAGCCCAAGTCTCCTACTACCACTTTAGTGTTCGTAAAGGTCCTATTTATACCAATGCATTGCAGTGATGTATGTTAAAAGTACTGGTGTGTTATGGTGCATTTCATTTTGAGTAGCACCCCAATTAACCCTCACCATGCAAATGAACTGCAGGATACTACAATGCAAGGCAACTGAGTTGGGTGAAAATGGTGCAGGTACATTTTTTCACCTGCTTTGATACCATGTTAATTTAATTATACAAATGGCCATCTCTTAACACAGCACACCAACATGCAATCCAAAGTGCATTAACCCAACACATAGGAGACAGGTGTGAAATCAGACAAAAAGATATTGTAGGTAAAGGCAACACTTTTCTTTTTAGTTTTGAAGAGAAGAATAGTAGAATAGGGAGGGTTTAGAAGCCCTGTCAAGTTTGTATTGCTGTTTATGCTAGGTAGATTCATTCTCTATTGTCGTGGAGGCGGGGGGAAGAAGGCGATCGGAAATCCAAAATTTTACAGTTGTCACTAGAACCAAAGAAAGGATACAACTTTCAATAGGGTCTATGTTTCTAATTCACTTCAGTTAGAAAGATTTCTGCTCACTTCCCGTTGTGACTCCTGTACAAAAAAAGAATGGGAATCTCCCCAATGGGGCACAGACAGCAAAAAACAAACTGACTGGGGTTTTAACCCTTCCCTGTATATTTTATGAAAAAAGAAAAAAAAAAAAGTTGGCTGAACTTTAACCACTTGTCCTCCGGAAGATTTACCACCCTTACTGACCAGACCATTTTTTGCTATTCAGCACTGCGCTATTTCAACTAATAATTCCGCAGTCATGCAATGCTGTACCCAAATTAAATGTATATCCTTTGTTTCACGCAAATAGAGCTATCTTTTAGTGGTATTTGATCACCAATTTTTTAAACAAAAAAATCCAATATTTTCTACATTTGGTTATATAAAATATCCAGTAAACTAAAAGTTAGTCATAAATTTAGGCCAAAATGTATTCTGCTACATGTCTCTGGTAAAAAAAAAAACAAAAAACAATACTTGTATATTAATTGGTTTGTGTGAAAGTTATAGAGTCTGCAAACTATAGTATATACGTATACTGGAATTTATGCAGCTTTTACTTTCTATCACATTTCTTAAGGTGCTAAAATGCCAGGGCAGTACAAAAAAAACCCCAAATGACCCCTTTTGGAAAGTAGATGCCCAAAGGAATTTGCTGAGGCATGTTCAGTCCATGGAACATTTTATTTTTTGCCACAAATTTTTGGAAAATGACAAATAATTATTTAATTTAATTTTTACACACAGTTGTCACTTAAATGATATATTGCTCATGCATGCCATGGGTATATGTGGAATAACACCCAAAACACATTCTGCTACTTCTCCCGAGTATGTGGTAACATGTGAGACATTTTGTCAGCCTAGCTACATACAGGCCCCCAAAATCCAATGCCCACCTCCAGGCTTTCAAAGGGCATATTTCCTCATATCACTTTCTCACTACATATCACAGTTTCGTATCCCTAAAACGCCAGAATAGTACAAATACTCCCCCAAATGACCCCTTTTTGGAAAGTAGACACCCCAAGGAATTTGGTATTTTGCAGATATAATTTTTGTCACAGGGTTTTGAAAAAGAAAAAAAGAAAAGAATATATACATTTTTGTTTTCCAAAAACTCGTGGGAACAAATGAGATCTGCAAAATACTCACCATGCCTCTTAGCAAATACCTTGGACTTTCCAAAAAGGGGTCGTTTGGGGGGGGGGGGGGTGCTTCTACTACCCTGGCCTAAGGGCCAACAGTAGAAGCTTATGCCAGACATCACCCACTTTTCTAACCACTTAACGACCAAGCCTTTTCTGACACTTTGTTTACTTGAAAAAACTTTTTTTTGCTAGATTTTTTGCTAGAAAATTACTTTGAACCCCCATACATTGGCTGGGTAATGGGTGATCAAAGGATTAATAGGGGCAATCAAAGAGTTAAGTGTGCTAATCTACCGTGTGTGTAAAATGGAATGCCGTCTTCATTCTTCTCTCCCTGGCCGGCGTAGGGGGCAAGCATTAGCACAAACACCCAGAAATAAAAAGTGATGTAAGATTACATCGCTTTGCCCAGAGCTTCCGCTCACCCACACATTGTCGGAAGGCAAGCAGCAAGTAGTTTAAAAAAAAATTCTCAAATTTTTTTTTTTTTTAAACATTTTTTTTTTTTTTACATTAAAAAAAAAAAAAATACTTTCATCAGAGTAGTGCAATGTTACCATAGTAATGTTGTAATACTCTGGGGGATGATCAGGGATGTTTTTTTTTTTTACACTTTGCATTGCTTAGCTCCAGCTGGTCACATGGTACAGGGTGTTGTGATTGGCCCCATGTGCCATGCAAGAGCTGTGGACCAATCACAGCTCTCCAGGAACAGAGGCAAAGCTTTTATGACTGATTCATAAAAGCTTTGTTGTCATTGTGATCGCACAGCGATCACAGGATCACCGGGTCCTGATTACCAGGATTCTCATTCCACTGTGTCTGCTGTGCCCCCCTGTGTTGGCAAAGCACCAGCGACATACAGGTACATTGCTGGTCCTGTAGCTGCTGCCCATCCGCAGTACATTCTGAGCGGGCGGCCTGAAGGTGGCTAAATAAAAACGATTACCTTATTTTGCTAACAAAACCTTTTTGGTACTAAATAAGCAAAATAGGAAATAGTAAAATATCTTCTTGAACTAAAAGTCAAGGTTCACTAGATGGATGACAATAATAAACTAGGTAGTTTAGCAAACTTAAGTTTGTACATAAGAAAATTAATTACCTTGGCTTGCAATCTACCACCCAGTGTAGACCTTGCATGATAAATGACTATTAGGACATCACCCTGTACTGTAACATCTAATGGAATTTCAGCTTTGACATCTTCAGTTTTAAAGTCCCTGTAAACAAACAAATAGGGAAAAAAAATCAAAATCAAAAAGAACAAATGCATCCTATTTCCACAAAAATCCTTTAGAAATTACTATGTCCAGTAATTTCAGAAAATAATATACCTATTTTACAAATTTCTTTTAATTGAGCACTGAACATTTAATCTATGTACAAAAATTCCTAACAATACATTTGAAATGCACACTTACCTCATTTTATCATATTCCTGTGAGGTAGTGGCTACTCGCTCATCTCCAACATACACTTCACAGAAAGGCCGGCAACCATTGCGCAGTTTACTGAACAGTGGAACTGGGGTCATAAATATGGACTTTATAAGAATTGGTTTACTGTGAGGAATGATTGGCTCCTCCGCCATCATGTCACACATGTATTCTATGTACCTGAAACATGGAAGATTTTAGATTTTTGGCCATATAGATTATGATAAAACAATCATTCATCTGAACATTGGATTCATCTGGCAGAGGGACTAGTTGACTTAGCTATAGACTAATAAGGGAGAAGTAAAATCGGTGCAATTTCTTAATCCAATAAAGTGCAGTTTACTATAGTAATCAAAAAGTGTTATTCTAACTCCTCTAATCTGAAAAAAGGGGACAGTTATTTAAACCACTTTCGTACATTTTATACATTTTCTAATGCATTAGGGACATCTGCAACATGGTAGAAGTAATTAGGCAGCATAGTGCCTGCCTGAATTACTTCTTACATACTGAAGCTGGCTTGTTTAATATAAACTTGTTCTTGCAGCCATAAAGTTTGTAAAATGTTTAACTGCCATAATATAACACATACATCCCCAAATTGGAATGCCGGGGAAAAAATCCATTTAATGAAAAAAAAAAATATTGTTAATGTAAAGAAAAAGTGTATAATTGTATTCAACAGAATCACTGCCTGCGTAACAAAAGTCCTTTATAAGTCTACATGGTACTCTAATAATCAATACAATGCTATACTATGTTATGCAAGACATCAGAGCAAGAATGGAAAAACATACCTTTTATGAGAAGGCCATATGCCAGGTGGACATCTCTTCATACTGAACATATACACAGCAGCTTCAGCAGTGGAAAACAGACGGCAGAAGCACAGGAAAGAACATACCACCACAGCTGATGCAGCTCTTCCATCCTTCAATGTAGGCACATTATAAATTAATATAGTTTATAAAAACTAAGCATCAACTATCAACAATTACAGTCATTGTAAGTTTAAAATTGTTCCTGCATAATCTGATTACAGGCGAGACTAAAAAAATTTGCATATCGTGCAAAAGTTCATTTATTTCAGTAATCCAACGTAAAAGGTGAAACTAATATATGAGATAGACTCATTACATGCCCAAAGCAAGATAGTTCAAGCTGTGATTTGTCATAATTGTGATGATTTTGGCTTACAGCTCATGAAAACCCCAAATCCACAATCTCAGAAAATTAGAATATTACATGCAATTAATTAAACTAGGATTGTACATAGAACAATATCGGACCTCTGAAAAGTATAAGCATACATATGTACTCAGTACTTGGTTTGGGCCCCTTTTGCAGCAATTACTGCCTCAATGCGGCGTGGCATGGAAGCTATCAGCCTGTGGCACTGCTGAGGTGTTATGGAAGACCAGGATGCTTCAAAATAGCGGCCGTCAGCTCTTCTGCATTGTTCAGTCTCATCTTTCTCTTGGCAATGCCCCATAGATTCTCTATGGGGTTCAGGTCAGGCGAGTTTGCTGGCCAATCAAGCACTGTAATCCCACGGTCATTGAACCAGGTTTTGGTGCTTTTGGCAGTGTGGCCAGGTGCCAAGTCCTGCTGGAAAATGAAGTCGGCATCCCCATAAAGCTAGTCTAGTCTGCGGAAGGAAGCATGAAGTGCTCCAAAATCTCCTGGTAGACGGCTGTGTTGACCCTGGACTTAATGAAGCACAGTGGACCAACACCAGCAGATGACATGGCTCCCCAAACAGGTGCGGACGGACCATTTGGAAACTCGGGCACTGCCCGAGGACCCGGGGTCAGTAGGGGGCCCCATGAGATGCCCCTGGTACCTTTTGCATAGGCTTTTTTGAGTTTGGGCAAGGACACAGGGGCCCAATGATCCCCTATTGCCCGGGGGCCCCATGAGTTGTCAGTCCGCCCATCCCCAAATCAACACTGACTGTGGAAACTTCACACTGGACTTCAAGCATCTTGCAGTGTGTGCCTCTCCATTCTTCCTCCATACTCTGGGCCCTTGGTTTCCAAATGAGATGCAAAAGTTGCTCTCATTAGAAAAGAAGACTTTGGACCACTGAGCACCAGGCCAGGTCTGTTTTTCTTTAGCCCAGGTAAGACGCTTCTGACGTCGTTTTGTTGTTCAGGAGCGGCTTGACAAGAGGAATATGACATTTGAAGCCCATGTCCTGGATCCGTCTGTGTGTGGTGACTCCAGCCTCAGTCCACTCCTTGTGAAAGTCCCCAACACTTTTGAATGGCCTTTTCCTGATAATCCTCTCCAGGCTGCGGCTATCCCTGCTGCTTGTGCACCTTTTTCTTCCACACTTTTCCCTTCCACATAACTTTCTATTAATGTGCTTTGATACAGCACTTTTGGGAACATCCATCTTCTTTTGCAATTACCTTTTGAGGCTTTCCCTCCTTATGAAGGGTGTCAGTGATGGTTTTCTGTACAACTGTCAGGTCACCAGTCTTTCCCATGATTGTGATTCCTACTGAACCAGACTGAGAGACCATTTAAAGGCTCAGGAACCCTTTGCAGGTGTTATGGCTTAATTAGCTGATTAGAGTGGGACACTTTGAGCCTAGAATATTGCACCTTTTCACAATATTCTAATTTTCTGAGACTGGGATTTGGGGTTTTCATGAGCTATAAGCCATAAGCATCACAATTATGACAAATCATGGCTTGAACTATCTTGCTTTGCATGTAATGAGTCTATCTCATACATTAGTTTCACCTTTTAAGTTGCATTACTGAAATAAATGAACTTTTGCACGATATTCTAATTTTTCGAGTTTCACCTGTATATCAGCAAGCAGAAAAATAGTCATTTAAACAAACACCATTACAAACAACACATACTAACCGTATGTTTTTTTTAAAGCACATTTATTAGCTAAAATAAGTGAATCCTAAAAAGGATTAAAAGTGCTAAATAAAAGTAATTTGTAACTTTTTCTTTATGTAATATAGTAAGCCTTTTGTATTTGGTGAGAACTTGCCCATTTATATACAAATGTGTTGAAGATGTAAAGTTTTTTCATAAATACAGTGCGACTAGTCAAGTGATTATATTAGGTAGGCTCTCTGACTAAGCTGAAAGCCTGAGGAATTTAGTCTTCATCTGTTTTATTACAGACTCTTATTTCTGTAAATATGTTTTGCTTAGGCCCCTTTGACATGGCCGTTTCTTGCGGCCTCCAAATTCTTCCTGCAGGAATGACCGGGTTCTGCGATTAACAACAGCCACTCAGCTGCGTCCAGGCTTGGACATATGTTCCGGAACCACAGCTAATCGCACTCTTGAGCGGCTACACGCAACCAGCAGCAACCACTATCAACCCGACATTTGTTTAAATGGGTTAAGTGGCCGATGCTAATCAAATAACCTGGTCGTTCCTGCAAGAATCCGCAGTTCTTGCCACAGGAATCGAGAATCCACAACAAACCAGCCATGTTAAAGGGGCCTTAAAATGTAATCTCCCACCACAGACCAATCAGAATCGCTCTGACTAATCCCAAAGGGGAAGAAGAATGGGGATTTCACATTCCTGGAGTGCTACACTGGCTGTGTGGGTACTGACATTTATGAAGGCAAGTTAAGCAGGGATGAGTGTTCGTTCACTTTTTCATTTTATCTAAAAAAGTGAACTAACCCTTTGAATTCTTGCAATGTATATACATGCCCTGGAGAGGATTTTACATCCTTGAAGGAGTACTGTTGCATTTTAAAGAAGGGTTGTAAGCTGGGGGAATTTATTAACAATCAACAAATAAAGGAAAACAGATCTGAAACAAACTTGAGAAAATGTCACCTTACGAAGTTTACTTACAAGGCAGTGTACAATACAAACATTCTTTTGATCTTGTTTCAGCCATAAATGCATATTTTTACAGATGCTGTAAAGGTTCACAAGATTTGGAGCACGTCTTCCAGACCAACCACATTCAGACACCTGTGTGGAAATTACAGTCCCAAATATATTAAAAATTGATCTGCCTGCATTTCATGCAAAATTTCAGTGCATAGTGAAGATTTCATATCTCAGTGATCAGCCTGAAAAAGTTGTTCACGGCACATGAAGATTCACAGTAATTGTAACTTTCCCTTTATAACTTCAGATTTTGCTCAGCAGGAATAAACAAACAGGATATCCGCCTCCTCTCTGTTTCTTGCAAAGCTGACAAGTCCCTAGCACACACAGTGATATGCATGAGTTCACTCTGATAAAGAGATTCTATGTACATCAAATAAATTAAACCACGTTTGTTGGTGTGGAAGAACACATTGCTTGTGAACATAAAAGTTATGCTGTCATGCTTTAAGACAGTGTTACCCAAACGGAGTTCCACAGAACCCTAGGGTTCCACAAGAGGTCCCCAAGTGTTCCACAGTGATTTACCGGTCAGTCACAGGCAGCTGACAAGTAGATTGCATCCCTTCGGCTGACTCATGCACAGCTAAACAACCAAGTGGCTCTGCTCGTGTAGCTGTGCAGCGCTGCCCACCGCCGGCACCTCTCCTCCCGTCCATCCTAAGTGCTTGTATGTGACATCACCTGTGATGGACAATTCCTGCGGTGCAATTCCTGTTGAAATTGTATGCGGTTTCCCCACTGCTCCTGAATGAACCCAGGCTGGTCATACCCAGCCTTCACACAGGAGCAGTGTGGGAAACCTCCCTGCGCCGATCCCATGCTGTAACAGAAGGAATAGCCGTTTCACAGGTCTGGGTATTTGAAATCCCAGCGGCTTTCTCTCCTCTCCTTGCAGGGATGAGAGTACGGGCTAGACGGCTTCTGATTGGTAAGCACTGTGACAGTGCAGACCAATCAAAAGCCATTCAGCCTGTACTGTCATCCCTGCATTGAGAAGAGAGAAAGCCTCGGGTATTTTAAATTCCCACAACTGTGAAACAGCTTTTCCTTCTGTGACAGAATGGGATTGGTGCAGGGAGGTTTCCCGCACAGTTGGCACTAATCCGCCTCTACAGTAAACTTTAATTATTCAGCTGATAAATATGTGAGATACTCAGACACCATTCGCACTAGCGCTAAAAGGGGTGGCTTACTGGCAACAAAGTCTAGGCCAAATGTACAGGTCTGGGGCTTCCAAGAGGCTTCTAAAGGAATGCAGAAACATATCTAAAAATTAACAGGGGTAATTGCCTATACTTCAGATTTAAAAGAGAAGGGATTTAGGTTTTTTTTTTTTTTTTTTTTATAAAAGAATACCTAGGTGGATGCAGCATCAGTCCGATGTGTCCGAGTGACGTGTTACAGAAAATGGGTCACAGAACAAACCAGGCCCGGACTGAAACAATAAATAGGCCCGGGCATTTTAGACTGAGCAGCCAATTGTTCCGTGCGTGGGGGGGGGGGGGTTGGTGATGGAATATTCATGGAGTTGGTCCTCCACACTGTAATGTAAAGGAGCACTATGATATAAAGGGGACTGCACTGTATTGTATATCATAGTGCCCCTTTACATTACATTGCCCCTAGAGATCAAATCACAGTGCCCCCTATATATTCAAAGAGATGGCCCAATCAAGCACAGACAGCCCAGCACAGAGACAGCCCAATCCACTGCCGAGCTGTAACGGTGTGCCATCGGGTGAAGGAGAGAGGCCGCCATTGTCTGTCCCTTCAGTGCGGCTGTGTGCAGCGGCTGTGTGCAGCGGCCAGTCAGGGCACTCAGCGGCGCTTCCTGCCTGTTGCTGGAGCCGTCACTGCCACTCCTCCTGTCAGCACTGTTTAGGCATAGCTGCACGGCGGGAGGTGAGCGGCGGCTGCAATCTGCGTTAGCTCTGTTCAGGCCGTGGTCAGCGCTTACCTCCAGCTGTGTGGCTCGGTCATGAACAGGCCGCTCGTCTTCAGCCTGGGTGTGCCCTGTGGCCAGTCCAGGCCTGGAACAAACTGCACTCCTGTAATCCACAGAAGTACAGCCAAAAAAGCTTTGGCTGTACTTCTCCTTACAGCTTTTTTAAGGACATGACTGGATCACTGAAGCCTAAGTTTAGATTGATTTCACTTTAAATAATTTGTTTGGTCCAAGCTGGTCCAAACAAACTACTTTGTTTAGTAAGTGATGTGGCTGCAGTCAGCATTGTTTTATATTGTAGTAGCATCAGTTACATACAGTATGCAGCACTGTGTTCTGGCGGTGTCTCATGAGACATTGTTGGCTGCTAGAACAAAACTGATTCGGGCTGAATACTTATAAGCCATTCAAAGGCATTCTTGTGTTTGTATAAATTAATACAAAGCTTCCTCTGATAGGCCAAGGTGGAGAGGCGGGTAACTATGTCATAATTTCGATAATAAAAATACAAGGCTTCCAGTAAATGGAAGCACGACTTGATTTCTCCCAAGCTGCTGGAACACAGTGCTGCACACTGTATGTAGCTGATGCTACTACAGTATGATACAGCATTGACAGCAGATGCACCACTCAGTAAAGGAAATCGTTAGCTTGACCCAACAAACTATTCACAGTAAAAGTAAACCTGAACTTATTCTTTAAGAGCAGAAAAACACATCTGTCCTGATCATCTCCAGCAGTCATTAGTTAGCTATAACTCCCTTTTATCAACTTAGCAATTTTACATATTTCAAGGTCTTTCACGAACAGATGATTCTGTTAACAAAAGACACATTAACACAAAAAAAGGACACTGAGGAGATACCCACAAATGAAAAAATGCAAACAAACAACCATAACAGGATAACCCTACTTACTACTATATACTAAAACTCAAAATAGAGTGTTTTTTAGTACAATGCCTCATGGTACATTTTCTAACATTAACAGTGCTAAGAGCACAATTGTTCTTACTCTGTTATGGAACCTGGCAGGTCTGTATTTCCTCAAACTTAGGTTATAAACTGCATAACTCCCAGGATGCTTAGCATCCAGATACAAGCGCACATCTTCAATGTTATTTTTGATGGCAGATTCTACACCTTCTGCAGGAAAGGACATGACTAGGATATAAACAAAGAAATAAATCACTATTAAGTGAATAAAAAATGTATATTCTGAACAGAAATGTTTAATTTTATAATGCACTATAAGATGAACCCATCAGAAAGAGATGTGATTTTTAAGCACTTCTAAATGTACAGTAAATGGACTTAGATCACAGCTATATAATTTAAAGAGGACCTGAACTTAAAGCGTGAAGATTTGCAATGATTTAGGGAACATTTAGAAATGGTTATTTTTTGTAAGTATTACCCTGAAAAGTATACTTTAAATAGCAGTGCCTGGCATTTTAGAATACTTATATTTTCCTGTGCCCACACATCATAGCTGTTTATCTGCAGTGTAAGATCAAAAATCACTGCTGCATCTGACTTCTAGTCTCACCAAATTTAGAGTAGGATTTGGAAATGTCACCACTGTACTGCTTGCTGCTCTGCTAGCTGAAAACTTTGACATGATGAAGCAAAACCCTGCCACTTCCAAGATAGCCATTATATCACAATGAGAATTGATGAGAAATTTCCACCTAAAGGAGGACTGGACACTGGCAAACAAAAAACTGTAGGCCAGACCAGGAAACCCCTCAGTTTATTTAGTAAAGCACTAAACATAAAAATTGATGGAAGAAAAGTTTAGAAAAATGTTAAGAAAAAAAATACTAGCAAAAAAATAGGTTAGCCTTTTCTTAGCAGAGTTGCGCAAAAGGACGCCCATCCTTGTAGGACATTAGCAAAAACTGAGCTGCCCTACATTTTCTTTTGTTTTCCAGTGTCCAAACCGCCTGAAGATGTCCTGTGTTCCTAGACATGTTTCAGTGGGACGCAGTCTTGAGAAAGGTGAGCTGCATGTCATGTAATGTGAACTGTATTGCCAATATTTTTTTTCTCATCAATACAGTTTGTTCCAAGTTCTGTGAGTGCCCTTCTAATCAAATATTTTATAGTAAGGCTAAGATTTCAAACAGCTGGGTTAATGGTGGGTTGCACCTACTTGATGGACTATGGAAAATGTTAACCAAGTAAGCAACTGAAGCACTTGGAAAGCAGCTATTCTGAATAACACTTGATTTTTTTCTTCTGATTTCCATCCCACCATGGAAATGAAAGATCTCTCTGATTTTCTTAATACTCCTCACATGGACATAAGCTATACAGTGCATCCAGAAAAGTATTCACAGCGCTTAACTTTTGCCACATTTTGTTATGTTACAGCCTTATTCCACAATGGATTAAATTCCTTTTTTTCCTCAACATTGTACAAAAAAAAATACACCATAACGACAACGTGAAAGAAGTTAGTTTTGAAATCTTTGCAATTTATTAAAAATAAAAAATGAAAAAACAAAACAAAAAAACACATGTACATAAGTATTCACAGCCTTTGCTCAATACTTTGTTGAAGCACCTTTAGCACCAATTACAGCCTCAAGTCGTTTTGAGTATGATGCTACAAGCTTGGCACACTTACTTTTGGACAATTTCTCCCATTCTTCTTTGCAGTACCTCTCAAGCTTCTACAGGTTGGATGGGGAGCGTTGGTGCACAGCCAATTTTCACATCTCTCCAGAGATGTTCAATTGGGTTCAAGTCTGGGCTCTGGCTGGGCCACTCCAGGACATTCACAGAGTTGGCCTGTAGCCACTCCTTTGTTATGTGGGCTGTGTACTTAGGGTCATTGTCCTTTTGGAAGATGAACCATCTCCCCAGTCTAAGGTCCAGAGCGCTCTGGAACAGGTTTTCATCAAGGATGTCTCCCAGCTCCTGCCACTGAAAAACATCCCCACAGCATGATGCTGCCACCACCATGCTTCACTGTAGGGATGGTATTGGCCAGGTGGTGAGCGGTACCTAGTTCCTTCCAGACAGGACACTTGGCATTCAGACCAAAGAGTTCATCCTTTGTTTCATCAGACCAGAGAGTTTTGTTTCTCATGGTCTGAGAGTCCCTTAGGTGCCTTTTGGCAAACTCCAGGAGGACTGCCATTTGCCTTTTACTGAGGAGTGGCTTCCGTCTGGCCACTCTATCATACAGGCATGATTGGTGGAGTGCTGCAGAGATGGTTGTTCTTCTGGAAGGTTCTCCTCTCTCCACAGAGAAATGCTGGAGCTCTTTCAGAGTGACCATTGGGTGCTTGGTTACCTACCTGGCTAAGGCCCTTCACCCTCGATTGCTCATTTTGGCCGGGTGGCCCACTCTAGGAAGATTCCTGGTGGTTCCAAAATTTTTCCATTTAAGGATGATGGAGGCCACTGTGCTCATTGGGACCTTCAATACTGCAGAAATTATTCTGTACCCTTCCCCAGATCTGTGCCTTGATACAATCCTGTCTCGGAGGTCTTCGAGAAATTCCTTGGCCTTCATGGCTTGGTTTGTGCTGTGACATGCACTGTTAACTGTGGGACCTTATATAAAAAGGTTTATGCCTTTCTTAATCATGTCCAGTCAACTGAATTTCCCACAGATGGACTTCAATCAAGTTGTGGAAACATCTCAAGGATGATCAGTGGGAACAGGATGCACCAGAGCTCAATTCTGTGTCATGGCAAAGGCAGTGAATACTTATGTACATGTGGTTTTTTTTAGTTTTTAATAAAATTGCAAAGATTTCAAAACAAACTTCTTACACGTTTTCATTATGGGGTATTGTTTGTAGAATTATCAGGTAAAAAAATGAAAATCCATTTTGGTATAAGGCTGTAACATAACAAAAAGTGGCAAAAGTGAAGCGCTGTGAATACTTTCTGGATGCACTGTACCTTTTAGCAGGCTCAGCTGAATTTATTGAATATGTTTAATCCTTTTTTTCCTATAATACTAACTAAAGAATATAAGTCTACACTGAACATACCAGCAATTCTGGAAGTGATGTAAGACAAATCCAAATCTCCTTTTGCATAGCTGAAAGATAGAAAAAAAAAATAACTCTATTATACTGGTTTACCTTCTATTACATTCAAAGAAGAAAAGACGGTTCTGAATGTTTTCTTTTAAAGACTGTGGTATTCAAAACCTTTGTCACTAGACCACATTTTGCATTACTGGAACGCAGTAGTTTACTCAACATTAAGTTTTAAATTACACTTTTTTTTTTTTTTTTTTTTTTTTTTTTTTAGCACATATGGGGCCTTCGATTTAATAAATGGTGTTCCTCAAGCTACCTCTACCCTCGGCGATCCTGAATGTCTCCATAGCAGCCCCTAACTCATGGAAGAACATGGTGAGACCGGAGACCAGGAGGTTCCAAGCTTGCCAGCACCTACGGTATTCACACATTGAGTTGAGTTTGTTTCAATTCTTTCACTGCCTGACTTGTTAGACAGTTATGGGAGTGAAATGGTAAATCCTCTCCATATTTGTCCAAATCTTACTCTAACTCTTATCAGTTTACAGCTATTTCCTGGAGATCAGAATGTTCTCTAGGAGGTACTGCAGCAGCAAAAACAAGGCTTTAATTAACACTCTCATGCCACAAGATACTTTCTGAAATAATGACTGTGGGGACAGGAAGGGGCTAACTTTTAGTATTAAAACAATAACTTACTTTGAGTAATGTTTGTGAACATCACTGCCTAATAAAGTCATAATATTAACCTAAAAAGAGCAGGCCATACCACCTGAAAATTAGTAAACCAAGTATTAGTAGGTTTCATATCATGCCCTACTGCAAACAGCTTTCTTCTGCAAATAATTTTTTCACCTGGAGATCCTGCCAGTTACAGTACTTTGTCATCCAGGAATTGTCAAGCTGCCATATGCACTTCATTAGTGTAAGGCTGCCTATCTAATGATCGACTTCTGTTGAACTTGGTGGACTGCTGAACCAGTCCAATTTCAATCTGTCTATAGGCAACTTTAGAAGGCGACTGTAGGTAGATCGCTAAAAATAAGCATTCTACATGGATAACAGAAGCCCAATGATCAAAATGATCAACTGAAAAATGCATGATTCTCGGGACTATTTAACCCTTTTGAGAAATAGAAAACGTTTTTTTACCTTATTGCAAAGAATATGTTTTTAAAATGTTTTTAGCTTTAGTATCGCTATAAAAATCCTTACACGCTCCCCCAGTTTGTAAAGTAATGTTTAACATAATTAATCCAGTCTGTGCTCTGTTCACAGTTCTTCACTATAAGCTGTGAACTACATTTGAACACTGTCTGCACTAAAGCTGGGTACACTCGGTCTGAACTTCTGCCCATTCAGCAGGAACCAGCTGACATTTAGACCATGTGTACAATTGTCCTGCCAACAGAAGCTGGTCTAAGGACCGGCTTTTGTCGAAGGGACATGCTGAAAAACCAGCATTCCATCAGCGCTCACAGCCAACTGCTGCAAGTGCTGATTAGTGTGTTCTGGTGGGAAAGGGGGGGGGGGGGGGGGGGGGGCAGGGGTTCAATCACTGTGCCAGAACACAAAGGCATAGTGGAAGAGATTGCTGCACTAACATTGCTTAGTTAGTACAGCCATCTACATTTTTTTTTTTTTTTTTTTTTGTTCAGCTTGCTGGCTGAACGAAAATAAATCTTAAAATGTGTGCCAGGCTTATCAAAGAGTGAAAAGTTTAGAAACCACCCTCCTGCATTATATGTTATTGAGATTTGTGTGGAGACAAAGTCACTATGAGACTCTCCAGAATTTCCTAAAATCAGAACACGTTTGCCTTAGAAACATCTCAAAAGGTGTCAGGACTTGTGTCATTACCTGGGTCACCTGCTGATGGCAGTTATTTTCAGAGAAAGAGCTCATGTACACTGCAGCTGATAAACTCACGTTCAGGAGCTGTTCAGCGTTGTTTTTCAGCAGCCCCTGAACTCTCCCTGTTTTCCTATGTGTCCATGTACACATAGTCGTTTACAGTTATTTTTTTGAACGCATCAAACTTGCGTTCAGGAGTAGATATTATCAGGGTTTCAAACGCCAAATGCTTGTAACCGTGGCTAACTGTGTTTATAAGCGGTTTTTAACTATTCCATATCCAAATGCTGTTCAGAGCCTTTTTCATCATCAAAAATGCATGCAAAGCATTTGTGTATTCAAATGGACCTAGTACACCAGCGCAGTCAGTTCCAGGTTTTGCGTGAAGGAAAAAAAATGGTAGAACGTGTTGCATTATGCTCATGATGGGATCCATAGTGAATACAACCAGAAAAGATAGGTAATCTCAACACATACTGCTCTCTCTGCTGCTTCTGCTCTCTCCATTTCTCTCAAAATGTCTGAAATAGTGAATTTTTTACTGTTTTTCAGTGCATTCTAGGCATTTTGGAAGGTCTCCTGATGTTATCTTTAAAAAACGCTTCTAAACGCAAACACTTCTAAACACGGTATGCAAACGTGGCTAAACAGACATTTTTTAACCTACGTTTTCCAGCAGTCAGTTTCCATCGTTCAGAAGTGTTATCCAAACGTCCCGTGTACATGGAGCCTAAAAGGGCAAAGTTCCAGTGGTCACCAGCAGGTGTTTCCCAGCAGCTGGGCTGTCCAAGTAATTAGCCTGCACATGACATGCGCTGCTGGGAGGTATATGAGCCCACCTTTGACTGAAGATCAGTGCTTCAGTATTCTCCCTGCAAGCCGCGTCCCTGACTGAGCCTAATCCTTGTACCTAACCCCGAGACCTGCTTCTATGACCTGCTCCCAATACCTGGCTCCCTGCTCCCCTTGTCTCCAGTCCCTGTCCTGACCTTATCCTGTTCATGTGTGTTCCCTTCATCATTTGTATATAGTTAGGTTTGATTTTTGGGTTTGCACTGTCACGTTTATCACTTGCCTTGTTAATGGTTTACTGGTGTTGGAAGTGTGTCATATTTCTTAATAAACTTATTTTAGGCCTTTTTGGTTTGATTCTCATTTCTTAAGGTGCGGCCCACTGATCTGATCACCCTTGCTGGATGCCTGTGGTATTCCTGACATGATACTGAAGCCACTACCGATTAGATTGGCTGCACCGTGGAATTGAGTCTCAGCATATGCAAATTGCTTTTGTATTATGCACTGCTTGTAACAGAGGACAGGGAATATTGCCGCCAAATTTTGAAAGAGCAGACTAGGTAACAATTGTTGGAATTCATCCATCTCACTCACTCTCTTGTTGATCAGGGCAGAGTTTTGTTCGGAGAAACTCAGGCACTCATTCAAATCTGTGCAGAGCTGGCTTTGTCAAGTATCCCTAAGGTTGGTGATGAGGATTACTCTCCTCCTTTTAGTACGTCTCCAGTGGAGTCTATGGTGTGGCTATTGGAAGATGATAAACCCTATTTCTTTGAACATTATTCAGTATAATCACAAGCGGCTGTGCTGGATTGCATGAATACAGTACATTCTCTAGTCAGACAATTGAATTGTGAATTGAGTTTTGTTCTGCCCCTACTCCAGACCTGGTCAGATATATCCTATTCAGTCTCAGCTAACATGCACCAATCCACTTCTGCCTCTAGGCACCAGTTTGCTCAAAGATCCCCCCTCTGTTACCTATAGCAACCACAGCTGTGGCTCATTATACTTTGCTTCAGTATGTCAATATTCTGTCGCCACTATCTGCACATTTCCTGCATTTAACCCAATGAAAACTCCCTCTACTACTTCATTGCCCCTGGCAACACCTCAGAAATTCTCCTCTGCAACTGCTCTTCCTTTTCCACTATCTCTGAGTGCTACTATTACTCCTCCATCTGCTGCACACTCTGTTCATAACCCTGCAATCACTCGCACGATTCCAGTGTCCAAACCTAAAATGAAAAGGACATTTTTCCCAAACCCATACAATTCTGCCTCTGTCCTCTAAGGTCTCCACGCATGCTGCTCCGGCTTCCAAGCCAGTAATTCCAGTGCGGCCTGCCACGATGCCAGCTGCTCTGTTTCTGCCTGCCACAATACAACTTTCTCTGGTCCAGCCTGACTCGACACCACCTACACCGGTCAAGCCTGCCATCATGCCAGTCACTCAGGTCACGCCTGCCACCGTGCCAGTCACTCAGGTCACGCCTGCCACCATGCCAGTTGCTCCAGTCAATCCTGCCACCATGCCAGTTGCTCTGGTCCAGCCTGCCACAACACCACTTGCTCCGGTCAAGCCTAGCCACTATACCTGGCACTCTGGTCCAGCCCATGATAATTGAGCCTTCTGCTTCAGACCTGCCTGTCACTACCTCAACCGTGCGCCAGTCCACTCCTGACTTGCATTAAGTCCTGCCTTCCTCCTTTTCATAACTGGGATTGTCAGCAATCAAGCCTCACCCTACAGCAATTACATCTGCTCAAGCCTGCCTTAGGACTACCATCCATCCTTTGGACAGACTGTCTCAATCAACAAGTGGGGCCTTCATTCTTTTCTCCAAGCCACCCTGCAATCCAGCCTGTGTTCCGGACGCCCAGCCTGGGGGTCCCGTCTCCGATGCCCAGCCTGGAAGTCCAGTCTCCGACAACCTGCCTGTTGGGACAGTCCTGTGTCCAACAACCTGCCTGAGGGTCCTGTGCTCGATGTTCCGTCTGCCTCTGGTGGTCCTGTGCCCAACAGCCTGCCTGCCTCTGACAGTCCTGAACCTGATGACCGCCTGGCCTTGCTGACCCTGTGCTTGCTTACCCAACCTGACTGCGCCAGCCTGCTGACGGTGCCGCGCCTGACGCCCAGCCTGCTGACGGTGCCGCGCCTGACGCCCAGCCTGCTGACGGTGCCGCGCCTGACGCCCCAGCCTGCCTCTGATGCTCCTGTGCTCACTGCCCAGCCTGCCTCTGATGCTCCTCCGTCTTGCCTCCAATGGTTTTTGCCCGCTGCCCAGCTAGTCTTTGGTACCATGGTCTCATCCACTGTTAGGTCTAATTTTGCTGAGCCTCCAAGTCTGTTGCACGCTTGGCATGGGCTACCCATTCGGTCTAAGACTCCGATTGTTACCCCTCCTGAGTCCCCCATGCAGTCATTTGTTGCACCAAGGCCTGATAGTCCTGATACCCACTTTGGAAGTGAGAACTTTATTTCTCAGTTCAGCCCCAGTAGCAGCGGCCTTCTGGGAAATGGCAGAGTTCCATCTGAACCATGCCCTGACCTAGGTGGTATCTCTGCAATCCCAAGTGCATTAGGGCACCTTTGCTGGGGAACCAATCCCTTGGGTAGACCTGTGTGGCTGTTAGAGGGTGGAGCAGTTTCTGTCAAACCAGATGTGGAAGGACCAGTTGTGATGGGACACCCTGACGTCAGGGTAATTGCATGGATCAGGGATTCTGGAGTTAAGCTTTCAGCTGCCCTTTGGGGTCCCAGCGTTGGGACATGTGCTACATCAGAGGCATTTGAATTTTGGAAGTCGCACCTCTTCAGGAATCCAACCTGTTATAGAGAGTCCTGAGACACTGAAGGACCCTTTTTAGACTTATCTTCTACCCACATGGACGTTTGGGTTAAAGACAGAAATTAGTAAAAAGTAAAGGGTGCAGTTTCAGTGGTCACCAGCGGGTGTCTCCAAGCAGCTGAGCTGTCCAAATAATTAGGCTGCACCTGACATGGGCTGCTGGGAGGTATATGAGCCCACCTTTGACTGAAGATCAGTGCTTCAGTATTCTTCCTGCAAGCCATGTCCCTGCCTGAGCCTGATCCATGTACCTGATCCTGAGACCTGCTTCTCTGACCTGCTCCCTGTATCCTGCTCCCAGTACCTGGCTCCCTGCTCCCCTTGTCTCCTGTGCTGACCTTATCCTGTTCATGTGTGTTCACTCCATTTGTATAGTTACAAAGGTTTCATATGGGGTTTGCACTGCCACGTTTATCATTTGCATTGTTTATGGTTCAGGCTCCATTCACACTCGGGCTTTTCAAATCATGGGCGGAATCACGGTTTTCCAAGTGGCAAATGTGCCACGATCACAGAAACTAAATCGTGGGACACAAGGTTCTGGAACCTTTTTTGGGCATCGTGCGCTTCACGATTTTGTTTATGAGATCGTGGCACGTTTGCCGCGTGGAAAAATGTGCCGAGATCAGGTGCCCTGTACCCTTCATATTCCATTTATAATATTTCAGATTACAATACAGAAGCTAGCCTTGTTTTGAAATCCTACCATTTACCTGGTCTTGGTATTAGGCTACCTCCCAGATATAAATATTTATTAATACTTTCATTATTACTTTTATTTTGTAAACTGAAAACTCGGTATGAGGTAATATACATAAATAATTATGTCGTTTTGCAGTAACTTCAAAACATATATCAAATGAATAAGAAGAAATGGAAATTATTTGACTTTCTTACTTGGTGACTGACTGAATAACCTTTGAAGACGTATCTTTAATATTACTGAAAAATCGCTCTGTGCCACCTTTCAAGATGTCAAAAAAACCTCCTGAATTTTGGTCATCCTCTCCAAGTGTAACTCCTATAGAAAATTACAAATATAAATTGAAGTGGTTTTACATGCAAGCTAAAAAATAAATATACAATCATCACTAGCAGAGAAGTTTTTGTTTTGCTGAGCCCCCCTATAACATAGTTTCATAACTTTTTAATTTAGCCAGACTCTGTACATCTCTTCTGCCATAAAACCTACCTGAACTTTAGGATCTGTATTAAAGTATATAGGAACCCTTAATATTTAAAACAACCCACTAAATAAAATATATACATTCACATATACACACACACTGCTCAAAAAAATTAAAGACATTTTGTTCAGGACTATAGCATCAAGTCAATAAAACTCCTAAGATATTGATCTGGTCAGTTAAGTAGCAGAGGGGGTTGTTAATCAGTTTCAGCTGCTTTGGTATTGATGAAATTAAAAACAGGTGCACTAGATGGGCAACAATGAGACGACTTCCAAAACAGAAATGGTTGTTGTCATACACCGCCTGACGGTATCTCTAGCGATTCACAGGACAGAATTCCCCAGGGTGCGGGGTCTAAGTCCCAGTCTGCTTGTTCACCAGGGCCCCTGATGGTGGGGATGGACTTGGAGCAGACAGTGACCAGGTCAGGGCCCCTGAGTGCACTCCGCCCGTGGTAGAGGGAACCGCCAGAGGTATGTACTGGAAGAGAGCCTGATGTGAAGAGGCGGATATACCTGAGCAGTGACCGGATCCGTGCCGGATGGATGGCAGGGTAGTGTAGCGTAGTCAGGCGGACCGGGTCGGTAACAGTGGAGACAGCATGGTACAGAGCAGCGGACAGAGAGTAGTCGGGTCACACGCCAGGTTCAGCAATAGGGGGGTCAGATAATCAGGGGTATGCAGGAGAGTAGTCAAACGAGCCAGGGGTCAGAGCAGGAGATGGTCAGCAAAGGTCAGGATCAAGCAGGGTCAGCAACAAGGTCAATCAGCAGGAACAACGAGCAGGAACAGGATAATAAAGACCATATGGCAACTTGAGTCTGTGCAGGGCTGGTTTAAATAGTGCGCCCTGCACTGTCATTGGTGCCAGGTGTGCGTCCGTGATCGCGAGTGCGCATACATGGCCGCTGCCGCAGCTGCCTACGTCCTAGCGCCCGTCGGTTAGAGCGCATCGGCGCAGACCCGTGCGCTGCCACGATTGCTGACAGTTGTACAGGTGGAGGCCAATGACATTTTTTTCCCTGCTCATCTTTTCTGACTGTTTTTCACTAGTTTTGCATTTGGCTAGGGCCAATGTCACTACTAGAAGTATGAGACGTTACGTGGACCCTGCAGAGGTTGCACAGGCAGTCCAACTCCTCCCAGATGGCACATCAATACATGCCATGGCCAGAAGGTTTGCTACGTCTCCCAGCACAGTCTCAAGAGCATGGAGGAGATTCCAGGAGACAGGCAGTTACTCTAGAAGAGCTGGACAAGGCCGCAGAAAGTCTTTAGTCCATCATCAGGACCAGTACCTGCTCCTTTGTGCAAGGAGGGACAGGATGAGCACTGCCAGAGCCCTACAAAATGACCTCCAGCAGGCCACTGGTGTGAATGTCTCTGCCCAAACAATCAGAAACAGACTTCATGAGGGTGGCCTGAGGTCCTCTAGTGGGCCCTGTGCTCACCGCCCGGCACCATAGAGCTTGATTGGCATTTGCTATTGAAAACCAGAAATGGCAGGTCCACCACTGGCATCCTGTGCATTTCACAGATGAAAGCAGGTTCACCATGAGCACATGTGACATATGTGAAAGGGTCTGGAGAAGCTGTGGAGAACATTATCCTGCAACATCTTTCAGCTTGACCGTTTTGGTGGTGGGTCAGTAATGGTCAGGGGAGGCATATCCATGGAGGGATGCACAGACCTCTACAGGCTAGACAATGGACCCTGACTCCTACTAGGTATCGGGATGAAATCCTTGGACCCATTGTCAGACCCTACGCTGGTGCAGTGGGTCCTGGGTTCCTCCTGGTGCACGACAATGCCCGGCCTCATGTGTTGAGAGTATGCAGGCAGTTCCTGAAGGATGAAGAAATTAATACCACTGAATGGCCCCCACACTCCCCTGACCTAAATCTAATAGAACACCTTTGGGATATCATGTTGCGGTCCAACCAACGCCGCCAGGTTGCACCCCAGACTATCCAGGAGCTCAGTGATGCCCTGGTCCAGATCTGGGAGGAATTACCCCAGGACACCATCCTTCATCTCATTAGGAGCATGCCCCGACGTCATCAGGCATGCATACAAGCACACGGGGACCATACAAACTACTGAGTACCATTTTAAGTTGCTGCAATGAAATTTCAGCAAAATTGACTAGCCTGCTGCATAATTTTTTCACTTTGATTTTCAGGGCGTCTGAATTCAATCCTCTGTAGGTTGATAATTTTCAATTTCAACAAATGATGGGGCGTCGTTACGTTCCTATAGATATCCAGCATAATATTTTTCCCCATTGAGATCTGATGTGTTTTCAAAGTGTTCCTTTAATTATTGGGACGCCTGCCTTTACACGCACATGACCTTTAATGGTATCCCAGTCTTAGTCTGTAGGGTTCAATATTGAGTTGGCCCACCTTTTACAGCTATAACAACTTCAACTCTTCTGGGAAGGCTGTCCACAAGGTTCAGGAGTGTGTCTATGGGACTGTTTGACCATTCTTCCAAAAGCGCATTTGTAAGGTCACACACTGACGTGGGATGAGAAGGCCTGGCTTGCAGTCTCCACTCTAATTCATCCCAAAGGTGTTCTATTGAGTTGAGGTCAGGACTCTGCGCAAGCCAGTCAAGTTCCTCCACCCCAAACGCGCTCATCCATGTCTTTATGGACCTTGCTTTGTGCATTGGTGCGCAATCATGTTGGAACAGGTAGGGGCCATCCCCAAACTGTTACCACAAGGATGGGAGCATGAAATTGTCCAAAATGTCTTGTTATGCTGACGACTTAACAGTTTCCTTCACTGGAACTAAGTGACCAAGCCCAACCCCTGAAAAACAACACAATACCATAATCCCCCCTCCACCAAAGTTTACACTTGGCACAATACAGTCAGGCAACCACCAAACCCAGACATGTCCATCAGACTACCAGACAGAGAAGCGTGATTCGTCATTTCAGACAACATGTCTCCACTGCTCTACAGTTCAGATGCGGCATGCTTTACACCACTGAATCTGTTGCCTTGCATTGCATTTGGTGATGTAAGGCTTGGATGCAACTGCTCGGCGATGGAAACCCATTCCATGAAGCTCTCTACGCACTGTTGTCGTGCTAAACTGAAGGCCACATGAAGTTTAGAGGTCTGCAGCATGTGCTGACCCCGCTCTGTCATTCTTCGTGGCCTACCACTTAAAGGCTGAGTTGCCGTTGCTTCCACTTTGTTATAATACCACTAACAGTTGCCTGTGAAATATTTATCAGCAAGTAAATTTAACAGATAGACGATGTACAGGTCGTTCGACCGGAACCGGAAGTGCCTGTAACCAGCGTGAACTGCAATGGGGCAGAAGTGATGTCACACAGGAAGAGATGCGGTGAACTGAAGGGAGGACACATGGCTACGTGCTCAGAGCGGACTGCTCCTTCTACTGGCCTGGCCGCATCTCTTCCTGTGTGACGTCACTTCCGCCCCGTTTGCAGTTCACGCTGGTCACAGGCACTTCCGGTTTCGGTTGGACGACAGAGCCCTGCATTCTCAATCACCTTCAGCTTCCTGGGATTCTACCTGATACCCACAAGACTGAGGCCCTCCACTCTCCCTAGCAGCCCAAGATTCTGTTATTACCTCAAGCGGCCAACTCCACACGGGATGGACCCCTGCAGGGCACTGTAACGGTCTACTGAGGGGCTTGTTTTACTTCTTTACATTGTGAGTTTTAATATTGTGGTTCATTAAAACATTTCTTACATACTGCACTCAGAGGGCATCTCTCTTCTTCTTTTGTATACAGAGTTGGCTTACTCTGAGATGGAGGCTATCTGAAATGGTTACTAGCCATAGGCTGGCCATAGACGGGCCATTTATTAGCCTAATTGTCGGCCAATAAACGAAAAATCAGTCGTTGCCGCCATGGATGCTGCCACCAATGCTCACGAAAAACGGTCGTTTTCCGTGGATTTTCCAGCATGACTTAAAAAGAAACGAGAAGATCCGCGGAAAAAAGGCCGACAGCATTGCCCCACTAACGGCGTGAATATCGGCCGATTTTTCATGTGGATGAAAATTCAGCCCATAAACGACCGTCTATGGCCTGCAATAGACTTTATTGGGATTTATGGACATATAACACTGAACATTAGCCATTAGTGTGCTGAGATCTCTTTCTTATCTGTGAGAGGGATTCTCCCATCAACAGTGACTGTGTTGATGGGGGAATTTAGTGATTTTCCAAAGCTGGCAATACACTAAGGGAATTTAGGCTAGTTTGTGATGAACTGAATGAAATTCATAGACAGCCCTATTGGCACCTTGCTGTTTCACATCCAATCGCAAAACTGTAGGCTGCATCCCATCAGATGCAGCCACTGTTTGGGTATTCTGACAATTGCTGGTACTGGCTGTCAGAATGCAAACGCTGGCACTGTAGACATTCTATCCGTGCTATCAGTGTATGGCCAGCTTAAAAAAACCTACAAGGGGGACAAACCTAAACAATGTATATAATTCCAAAGTTTTTGGAGTGACTTTAAAGAACTAATTAGCTACTATACTAGCGAGTTACAAACTCTCACATGTAAGGGAAAGAAAACACTTAGTAATACATACATACCTGGTTGCCCAACAGGTTTAGAAGTCTGTAACAGCACTTTTTGATTCACAGTATTTCCATATCCACCATTTTGCTCCAACAACTGTGAAAAAAAAACAAACAAAATAATATACTACTTAACATGGACATTTAAGTAAAATAGGACTGAAGGGAAGTCCCCTGTAGGCTATACCCACTCCTACCTCACACCTGCCCAGTTTAAGCAAGCAGTCCAGTGGGAAAATATAGTATATCAAGGGAGGGAACTGTGTGGATTTTACAGTGTTCAAAGGTTCTCTGTAAATTAGTGACAGTTGTGAACTGACACCATCAAGTTCTATATATCTGGTGAGTCCATTCAATTCAGTGGGAACACTAGTGTTGTAGACATAACTGCATGCATTTTTTTTTGGAGCGAATTTTGGCACTTTTTACAGTTTATATTATTTGCTGAACTGAATACACAATTGGAACAGAGTACATTTGGTTTAGTTAATTGCATATTGTGGTGCTCTTTAGCAAATTTTACAGTGAATGTGATTCTTCTTGTTTTTGACTTTACACCAAGAAGCTTTTTGTCTCTTTTACATTAATGTCCTACTGAGAGAGATTACAGGTGGAAGCATGGAGAGACAGTGTATCATACAGTGTGGATTGATGATACTAAAGATCTTCACTCAAAACCTAAAGTTTCGTTCATTCTCTCCCTCTTTCCAGCCTGTAACTGAGATACAGTTTTTTTGGGGGGGAGAAAGTACCACTGGTACCTGCACCCACTTCCTCAGTCCTCTGTCAAGCAAGGATGACATTGCTTATCCTGCCTCCTCCGTGCAGGCTCCTGGTACAAGTGACGTGTCAGGAGGATGCAAGACCAGTCTCTCTGCACCATGAAGAAGGCATTATCAAATTGAGAAAATATGGCGCAACAGTGACGTTACCAAGAACTGGACGTCCCTCCAAAATTGATGAAAAGTCGAGAAGAAAACTGGTTTGGGAAGCTGCCAAGAGGCCTACAGCAACATTAAAGGAGCTGCAGGAATATCTGGCAAGTACTGGCTGTGTGGTACATGTGACAACAATCTCTGTATTCTTCATATGTGTGGACTATGGGGTAAAGTGGTAGGACGTAAGCCTTTTCTTACAAAGAAAAACATCTAAGCCCGGCTAAATTTTGCAAAAGCAAATCTGAAGTCTCCCAAAAGCGTGTGGGAAAATGTGTTATGGTCTGATGAAACCATGGTTGAACTTTTTGGCCATAATTCCAAAAGATATGTTAGGCGCAAAAACAAGACTGCACATCACCAAAAGAACACCATACCCACAGTGAAGCATGGTGGTGGCAGCATCATGCTTTGGGGCTGTTTTTCTTCAGCTAGAACGGGGGCCTTAGTCAAGGTAGAGGAAATTATGAACAGTTCCAAATACCAGTCAATATTGGCACAAAACCTTCAGGCTTCTGCCAGAAAGCTGAACTTGAAGAGGAACTTCATCTTTCAACATGACAACGGCCCAAAGCATACATCCAAATAAACAAAGGAATGGCTTCACCAGAAGATGATTAAAGTTTTGGAATGGCCCAGCCAGAGCCCAGACCTCAATTCGATTAGAAAATCTGTGGGGTGATCTGAAGAGGGCTGTGCACAAGAGATGCCCTCCCAATCTGACAGATTTGGAGTGTTTTTGCAAGGAAGAGTGGGCAAATATTGCCAAGTCAAGATGTGCCATGCTGATAAGACTCATACCCAAAAAGACTGAGTGCTGCAATAAAATCAAAAGGTGCTTCAACAAAGTATTAGTTTAAGGGTGTACACACTTATGCAACCATATTATTTTAGTTTTTTATTTTTACTTCCCTCCACCTAAAAGATTTCAGTTTGTTGTTCAACTGAGTTGTACAGTTTATATGTTACATTAAAAGGTGGAAAAAGTTCTGAAGTTATTTATCTTTGTCTCATTTTTTACATCACAGAAACCTGATAATTTAACTGGGGCGTGTAAACGGTTTATAGCCACTGTAGGTCTTTATGACCTCTTGTCCCTGCAGATGATGTTATAAATTCACCAGGGATGCATACACTGCCACAATGCTGTGTCTCTGTACCAAGAATGCCACCAAGCAGAAGGTTGAGAAAGCTTCTGTAGAATCTGCACCACAATGGCATTAGGTTACTACAGGCAACTGTAACTGTTGTAGATAAAATGTTTCTAAATTAACCACTTGAGCCCCAGAGGATTTACCCCCCTTAATGACCAGGCCTTTTTTTTTTCTGTTTGGCGCTGCACTAATTCAAATGATAATTGCGCAGTCATGCAATGCTGTACCCAAACAAAATTTACGTCCTTTTCTTCACACAAAAATTTACGGAGCTTTCTTTTGGTGGTATTTGATCACCTGTGCGCTTTTTATTTTCTGCGCTATAAACAAAAAAAAACACGAAAAAAAACACAATTTTGAAAAAAAAAACTCAAAGTTAGTCAATTTTTTCTACTTTCAGCTATAAAAAATATATCGTAAACTCAAAGTTAGTCATAAATTTAAGCCAAAATGTATTCTGCTACATGTTTTTGGTAAAAAAAATCCCAATAAGTGTATATTGATTGCTTTGTGTGAACGTTATTGCGTCTACAAACTATGGTATAGATAATTTGAAATTTACACAGCTTTTACTTTCTGACCGCCCATCACATCTCTTGAGGTGCTAAAATACCAGGATAGAACAAACACCCCCAAATGACCCCTTTTTGGAAAGCAGACACCCTAAGCTATCTGCTGAGAGACATATTGTGTCCATGGAAGATTTATTTTTTTTTTTTCACAAGTTTCTGGAAAATGACAAAAACTTTTTTTTGGTTTTTTTTTTTTTACACAAAATTGTCATTTAAATGATTTATTTCTTGCACAAGCCATGGGTATATGTGGAATTATACCCCAAAATACATTCTGCTACTTCTACCGAGTATGAGATACCACACGTGTGACACTTTTTGGGAGCCTAGCCACATACAGGAGCCTGAAATCCAATGAGCACTTTGAAAGCCTGAAGGTGCGTAACTTCTTCATTTCACTTCCCCACTACCTATCACAGTTTTGGAGGCCCTGACATGCCAGGATAGCACCAAACCCCCCCAAATGACCCCTTTTTGGAAAGTAGACACTCCAAGGAATTTAAAAAGAGGCATGGTAAGTATTTTGCAGATCTAATTTTTTCTCACAAGGTTTTGAAATATAAAAAAGAAAAGAAAAAATATATATTTTTATTTTCTTTCTTCATTTTCCAAAAACTTGTGGTAAAAAAATAAATTCTTCTATTGATTCAACATGCCTCTCAGCAAATAGTTTGGGGTGTCTACTTTCCAAAAAGGGGTCATTTAGAGGGGTGGGGGCATTTTATGCCCAGCATTAGAGGTTTATGCCACACATCACTCACTCTTCTAACCACCTGAAGACCAAGCCTTTTCTGACACTTTTTTTCACATTAAAAAAATCTGTATTTTTGCTAGGAAATTAAAGTGAACCCCCAAACATTATATATTTTCTTAGAGCAGACACCCTAGTAAATAAAATGGTGGGTGGTGCAATTTTTTATCTCACATATTACTTACACACCGATTTTTCAAACGCAATTTTTTTGAAAAATATACACTTTTTTAATTTTAATGCACAAAAACACAATATATTGGCCAATTATTTGGTATGATATAAAAGATGATGCTATGCTGAGTAAATAGATACCAAACATGACATGCTTTAAAATTACGCATGCCCTGTGCAATGGCGACAAACTGCATACATTTTTAATATCTATAGGCAACGCTTTAAAAGCCTTTACAAGCTACCATTTTAGATTTACAGAGGAGGTCTATAGCTATAATTACTGCCCTTGATCTGACGTTCGTGGCGATACCTCACATGCATGGTGCAATCGCTGTTTCCATACTGGGAAAGGGTCAACGCTCACGACCGCAGGTGTGCGCGTGCGCGGATGGGCGAGGGTCCTTTTTTTTTTTTTGATTTATTTAATTATTTTTACACTGTCCCTTTAATTTATTTTTTTTTTAATCACTTTTAATGCTATCTCAGGGAGGGGGAGGGGGGGCATTTTCTCCCGCTGCTTGTAAAGGCAATTCTGCAGCTAATTAACCACTAGGAATGCTTTTACATGAAAGCCCATTGCCGGCTGAAAAAAATAAAACCAGGATGATGTCTGCAGCTGCAGGCATCACCCTGGTATAACCATTCAAAGTCCAGTGATGTACCAATACGTCACTGGTCCTTGTTGGGTGTATATGCTATGTTCTTTTTTTCTTTATGCAGCCTGTGGGCTGAATGAAAAAAAAGAGAAGAAATCTCTGCCAGAAAAAGTGTGTGGTATGCCCACCATTAGAAACCTCCCTCAATCCACCCACTTCTAATGGTGGGCACACATGAAATGTGCCAACAAATATAAAATATATATGCCGAAGCATAGGGGCCATCCACCCACTGGCCACCCCAGGCCCCCATGCTTTGGCATATATTCTGTTTTTTTATAACTGCGGATGAAAAATCTCATCCAACAGCGCTGCCCACGCTGACTTATGTCTATTCTGAGAGCAAGTTCCTGTTGCTGTCAGAATAAACAGGTCAGCGCTGCAGCTGAAAGCATTCCTGCAAACAGAAATGGTTAACAATAAAACAACAATAAACCAGTGAAAGTCGAACAATCACAAAAATGACAACAAAAAAAAAACTATAACTATTTTTGGTTTTTACATTTTTTTAATTTTTTTGGGGGGTATTTGTACTTTTATTTTTTTTTTTTTTTTTAACTTTTTTTTTTTCCAAACTTCAAACATTTAAACAACTGGTAGGGTCTCTCTCTAATGCGATAGCCAGTTTCCTGACTACCTAACATCTTTTGAGACCCTGTGTAAATGTGCCCTGATCTGTGCCGTGCTGTACCCTATACTAATAGTTCACTAGTGTATGGTAGAGGCGGAAGCAGGGCTTGATGCAGAGGCCAGGTTGGCCAGGACAGGAGGGACAACAATAGCGGCTGTCACGCCTAATTCCACGTTTGCTGCAGACACGACATCTTTTTTTGGGGTCTTCTTTGGGTTGGG